ATCACCAGCCAGAAGAAAAAGTTCAGCAAGGTGATTCACTGGAGCAAGCATCGTCGAGCCTTTGAACTGATCAAATGTCATATCAAATCTCTTCCAGGGCTTTTGGGGAGCCTCCTGACATGGATGCTCCCACGTTGTAGTGCGTGTATTATGATCAATATAGAATGATTTTCCTGTTACAGAATCAAAGCGCTCCTCCCATCCAGGGGGCAAAGTACGAGGGTTTCTGCCATTATATTCAGGATACCTGCTTGATGATAACCCAAACATTGCATCAACATCAAGGGATATACTCAATCGACTACACTGTTCGACAAAAACTTGAAGTGCCCCAAAGTAGCTTGCAGCATTGGTTCGATCAAGAGAGTCTGCACAATTGAAGCGCACCACCCCGTTTTGTATAGATTCCATGCAAAACCCACCATTGATGTCATCATTGAAGATAACTGATCCTTTACATTCCTTAAGCTGCTGCTTTACATTATAGTATTTTCCTTCACTGAAGCCAATTGCCATTGTAGGTGCTTTAAGGTGTCTCCAAAGGCCCTCAACTGTCTGTTGTTGCCCTTTTAACTTTACAGTGGCATGCCAGTCATAATTTATCAACTGAATCCAGGTTTTCCCAAGCTTTTTAGTAGACCTCAGGTACTCTAGAGAACTTTTGAAAGAATCAACAAGAACTGTCTCAGGTTTTCCATCACCATATCTCAGCAAGTTAACGCACACAATGGGAACCACTCCAGGTTTCTTTTGACTCGTTGCATTGACTTCCAATGATTTATTTCCATATCTTCTACCCAGCCGTTGGTAGTATTGTAAGCTCCCATTGAAAGGATCATCAGCAACATAAATTTCAGCCTCTACTGAAACAGCATTTTTTATCTCGGCACCCCACCATATTGGTATAGTTCCACGGCGCCAAATATAAGAGCTAAAGGGAATAGATTGCCCTTGACCATCCTTCCGAGGAGCCCATACAAGCTGCTCACACTCCACCTCATTACCTGTGCCTGAACAAGCATTTATGCCACGGGCCAAATAGCGGGTCCCAGGATGCAACCGACTACGTCGTGCAAGGAGGGCAACTATCCCACCTTGCTGTCCTGTACCTCCAAAACTCCGGCACTCGGCAAAACCCTGCAATAGAACAACACAGTGCCCTAGCAACCCAATATCCATAAAAGGCTTTGCTAACCATCTGTTCCACACAAATTCTTCATCTGGTTCCCGAAGAGTCATACGGCTCGGAAACGGCCTTGTAATATCCCTTGTTTCACAGAAGTAGTACTTCCCATCAATGTCAAGTTCAGCCAATTCCTTGATATTCTTCGATTCTCCATTACCTTGGGCTTGTGGGTTTTGCAGTTGGATCTTTATCCATTGACTCTCTGCCACTGTATATATACACCCACCTCCAGGTAGGGTTGGTACTGTCGCACTCAGCTGCGTTGCAACCAGAAGCAATGCGTAACTCCCTAATACCGCATAACCTAGTACAGCTTTAGAGTACGTAGTACTCTTGCACAGAATCTTTGATCCATTAGTGATATAGTTCAATGCTGCTGCCTCCGAATCAAAAAGGTCCTCACCGTGCTTCCCCAGGTAGTGCAGGTAACCCGTGGTTGGGTCGACGTAGATTACCTGAGTATCCTTCCTTGTTGACAAACTAGCCACAATGTACACTTCGCTCGTATCTAACACGACGACGACGACCGAAGTGTCCCTGGGCCGACCACCTGAAATGGAGACAAGGCAATCATCCAAAGCACTTTGTAAATAAATGGAAGGAGGCGAATATGTGATTGGTCAAGGAGGTAAAACAGCAGCAAAATTGTATGCCCGTCGAATCTGCACAAAAATACCATCGCGCAGCTAGCAGCCAGCCATGATCGATTCATTCATTCATTAATAACAGCACTAATTGCTACGCACAAACAGGAAGCAGCCAGTACGATGTAGTATGGTATTACAGTTTGATCCAATTAGGTGCAGCAAACTATAATAAGCAGAGCCTAACTAATTAACCGACTGCGCGCGCGATCTCGGATCAAGTCCAGTCGCTGCCGATCCGCTCTGCACGAAACGAAGAGCGGAGAGCGGGGGAGGGAGAGGCAGGGCACAGATCTAGCGAGGGAGAGAGGGAGGGGGAGGGGAGGCGTACGGGGATTGGCCGGCGGCGAGGGATCCGAGGGGTAGTAGGATCGCGACGCCATCCTCACGGGGGCGCCCGCCGCGCCGGCGGGCAAGGAGACCGGCAAGGGGTGGGGGGAGCGCGACGGCGGCGGCGGCGGCGGGATCTCGAGGGCGGAGGAGGTCGCGGTCGTTAGTAGTGGGCGGGCGCCTGCGCCGTAGTCCGTGGGCCGTGGCCGTGGCCGTGGACGCTGAGGAGGCTCGGTTCCCGTCAACACGGGACGCAGCAGCCTCGATCGATGTCGGGAAAGGCGGAGGAGGAGAGATCAGCGGCTGGGTCACGCACGAATCGTGTAGCACCCGCAAAGGTGCAAAAGTAATACCGCAACGACACCGTTTGGTTTTTCTTTTCTTTTCCTTCCGAGTACGGAGTACTTAAAATAAATACGTACTAAAAGCGTCTCAACTTTGGCAAATCCTTAGGCAGTGTTTTATTACTTGTTAAAAAATATATTTTAGATACTTCTTTACTTAGCGAAAAATATTTTTCAGATGTTTCATCGCTCGCTAAAAATGTTTCAACCAAATACAACATTTAAAAATACTTATTGTAACACGAGTAAATCAGTATCTACATCATCGAAGAAATATCGACTAATAACTTGAGAAAGCATTATTTCAATGTGCATCATGTGCAACGTCGGGTGAAATACTTGAATATAACAAAATACAACCGATAAAATGATAGATTACAACATCGTCAAACTTCAACAAGAACCTATTGTTCACCTTATTCTTCTACTCCATGGTTGGATATGTCTTTTCCCTTTTCTCTGGCCAACAAATCTTCTTTCTTCCCCTACTTCACCTGTCAAATTCGGATAAACCATATGCTCCTTGCCCATGAGACACGTGACTCAGCATGAACACCGACGCACACTTCATAGCGACTTTGAAGCCGTTGAATTGGAGCATCTAGCTGAAGAGGGCTGACTTCTCGAGGTCGGCGAATCGTTGCACAATCTCCTCGTGGCCAGCCTTCATGTATATGGGAAGGTCCATCGAGAGGTTCTCGAGTGCTCACCATCACAACTGCCTTTGCTTGGCAGGGAAACAGGAGGAGGTAGGTGGTTGTCCAACTATTTTGACCGAAACCAATTGTTTCCTAGAAGAAATAGGAGTATTTTCATTTATCAAGCTCAAATTAAAATCCGGCAAAGTTAGTGGATCATCTATCATAGGCAAAAGAAGATCAAACTCACAATCATTTTGTGATAAAATTGAACTTAAAAAAGAAACTTGCAAAGTTATCTCAAATATAGATAGAATCCAAAACTAGAGGGTGATTTTATACCAACTATTTTGATTCACTAAACATGCCTACATATTATAGTGCAAGAAAAGATACATGACAGTAGCATGCCTATCATGGTACAATTGTTGTCACTCTATATTCGATATATCTTGGATTCTCGAAGGCTAGCAAATTTATGTTTAGTTGCACTACATGATGAGGAATTGATATATTGTAGATTTGGAATATGATGAGGCTTAATCGATAAGAGAAATGGATAGCATAGTACATGGGTTTGTTTATGTATTGTGAAAGAGAATAAAAGCTGTAGTTTTATATAACCAGAAAAAAGCAAAAAAAGGCATGATAAATTTACTGATAATACAATAAAGGTGTTTTGGTATGCGAATAATCCCAATTGAGATAAGTTTTTCCTATTGAACCAACTTTATTCATTATGTCTAAATTGTTTTGTACTCCATTACTATTTTTTCTGAGGAAAAAGGTGCTCAATTTTAATAATACCCTAAAATTGCATGCTAGGGTGGTGAATATATACGTACCTGTAATTCTATATCACTATTTTCTCTAAGGAAAAAAGGTGCTCAATTTATTGATATAGTTAAGTAGAATTATTGCAATATTTATTAAGATATTAAACATAGGTGGAAACATGCTCTCGTCATGCTGCACAATGCTTTGCTCTATCAACTAGTTGCTCTAATTCATGTGCTATTCTATGGCATTATCTTTCAATATGATGAAATCTTCGCTTGTAAATGCTCCTTCTTACAATGTGCATCAATAATAGCTTGGCGAAATATCACCAATATTACCTCACCTCCTCAACACAATAACTCTTGCTAACTACTTCATAGCAATGACATTTTGCTGATATAATATCTTGTCAATGTAATATCATTTTTGAACTATATCATGTGTAAATGGGTCAAGTGATAAAAAATCATTTTGACTTGTTCCAAAGGTTCTTCAAAATTCACACAAGCATATGAGACGGCAACGATATTATGGTAAAAATGGTAACAATAATTACAATGACTTATACTCACCCTATCCACAAATATAAGGGCTTTTGCCCATATGTGGCATATTCTAATATAACGAATTTGAACAAACTCTCTATCTAGATTCATTGACCTTATATTTATATACAAAGGGAGTACCATTTGTATTTATAAGTTAAAAAAACAAATTCTTTTTCAAACTATAACAAGGATATATGTTGTGAAAACCATATTTACTCATTATAAAACTATAAACACGAGCCTTGGTCACCACTTTACCAGACAAACAAATTTTTTATTGTGGGTTTAACTTTATATTTTTTTAAATAAACTGTCATCGAAATCTGAACTTTTTCTCACGTCAAGAGTTTTGTTAGACCTAGTGAATTGGTGGGGCAAGCGATTCAGATTTGAAAATAATTTTCAAGAGCGTTTATTTTTAAAATTTAAAATATAAAAAGGTTAAAAAAAATAAAAAAATCGTCGGCAGCAGCCACCCTCCTACTACGAGAAAAACCGCGTAAAAGACAAAACGAATTTCTCCAAGAAAAAAAACACTCAAAATCCGTGAACGCTCTAGTCCTCCCCTCTTCCTTCCCACTCCCTCCGGAGAAGCCGTCAACACGCAAACCCTCCCTTCGAACTCCGGCGATCACCGGCGGCCACACCACAGTCCCCCTGCCGCCGCTGCCGGCGGTCTTGGTCCGGCGGCCATGGACGACTTCGTCCTCGTCGACGACTTCGGCCCGTTCAAGCCGCCGGCCGCCTCCGCCTCCACCACCTCCTTCTCCGCCTCCCACTACGACGACATGTTCGACTCCTACTTCAACCGCTCGGCGGAGCCCGCCGAGCCGTCCCCCTCGTCCTCCGCGCCGTCGCCGCCTCCGCCCGTGTTCGACAAGCCGGTGTTCGACGACGCCGACGCCGACGCCGCCGATCCCTTCGACGCGATTCCCTTGTTCGGAGATGGGGGCGATGGCGGCGAAGGGGAGGACTTCCTCGATAGCCTCGGGAAGGGCGCGAAGAAGCCAGATGTGAGCGAGCCGGAGGTGGTGGGGTTTGACGACGATTTAATCCCAGCTCTTGGGAACACCAAATCGAAGACGCCCGTGGGTGAGGAAGAGGTGGAGCAGGAGGCGGAAGCGGTGGGGTTCGTCGACGACGTAATCCCCGAGTGGTTCGGTGGGAGCGCGAGCACGACGCCGATGAAGCCGACACCGCAGGCGGAGCCCAAGGCGACGGGGTTTGAAGACGATGTGATTCCCGGGTTTGGTGAAAGCACAAGCCATCACGATTCACCATGGTATGAGAAGGCCTTTGATCCTGGAATTTCCAGTTTTGCTTCTGTTACTACTTCATTTACACAGTTTCTGTAGCTTAATCCATTATTGTGAAGTGCGGTTGACCAAGTAAATTTCATTTATATAAGGATTAAGGATAAAACTATAGCCCATTATGGATGCTAAAATTCCCTGAGGTTGAAGCCTGGTCCATGCATTTTTAGGTTTGGTTCGTTGGAGCTTGCATATTATGACGCGGTGTAATAGCATTTTATAGATTTCAGGACCAATTGGAGCTGGTGTTGTTGCTAGTTTTAACTATGTGAGAAAAAGTGGGTAAAGTAGTGCAAAGCGATATGGACTGGATTTCACAGTACCGCTGCTATCTGAACGACTTCACTGATTAAGGTGTGCAAGAAAGGGGCAACTTCTTATTAAATCACTGCCTCTGGTTGAATGATAAATCACTGCCTCTGGTTGAATGATAAATTACATAGCGGGTTTTGAGTTCTATGTTTGAAAAATGTATATACATTACATGTTGCATGTTGGGGGGGGGGTGTGAATATCCTAATAAAAAAGTGTGTTTTTTTCTGCATGGTTTTCTTTATACCGGTTATCTTATACTACAACCTGCAGGCATCTCATGGGTGCATACTTTCTGTCATAGGAATTTTGTCTTGATGTTTCTCTATGTTTTTTTAACCCATTTAAGAACTTTTAGGATTAATTCCTTTAAATGCTCACCTTTTTTAGAAGCACCGAGCATTGTTATTTCTGATCCCTAGGATCAACTTGAACTTGGGATACTCAACCAAAATCAGCACGAATTGTAGGCAACTTGCTGTATTTTGTCATTACTGTGTAATTTTTTTTGGTCAATTGGGGGGCTTTTTTTTTTTACCTAGGTAGGTGATAAAACACACAGTTTTGTTTGTTTATTATAATGTCAAATCTTCAAAATGATGCCTTCTAGGTCACATCTATTGGAAGATATTCCAATGCCTGCAATTTTGTGCATAGTTGATTAATGTGTTCTGGTATATGTCTTAATAATTGTAGATAGCACATAACACTTCAGTATTCATTTGTTATCTTTTCATAGAAAAGAATCATTCATATCACTCTTAGAAGTCTATTTTCTTTCCTGCTGGTTTCAATGTGGATTATTCATTGGATGTATCAGAACTTCACAGTTGTGCTATGGCAACTTTTCCTTGAATTATCTTCCTGTATGCCTGAGTGTTGTTTCCTTTTTGATGGTGCATGAGATCTACATTGGTGATAACGAACTGTTCAATTGACACATGTACCATTTGCTAGTTCAGTGTTTAATTATGGACAGTATAGACGGTCAATTGTTGGCAATTGGAGGTTTTAAAATTTTCGATTCAAAATAGTTGTTTATCTGCTAACTGCATAAGCTATTCTTCTCTTGATTGTTGTTCATTTGCGAACAAATCTGTACAGGGAGGAGCCTAGAACTAGACCGGAAAACGAATCAATTTCATCCAGCAAAACGAGTGTGAGCATGCCAGGAGATGCTTTTGTTACTCTAGGTGCTACATCCAACTTGGGAAATTCAAATTTTGGATTGTTTACTGATCATTTGGATAACATGGGCAAGTCAGAGAGCAAAAATATGGACCCCTGTTCTACTGCCAATGGGATGTTAGATAGTTCTAATATTTTTGTTGGGGTTCCAAAACCAATGTCCTCGTCTTCATTTGCATCTGAGAAAGAGAGTGTTTTTGGTGATAGTAAATCCTTGGATGGCATTTACAGCATGAACCATTCCATTAAAATGCCTAAGGAGAAACCAGTCCAGCAAGCTTCAGCTGAAACAATTAGCAGTATATTGCCTGAGATGCATATCCATGAAGCTCCTGGAACCACTGGTTTCAATAATTCAGATCCACTTTCTACAAGTATGCAGGACCAGTTGCCAGAGGAGAATCAATGTTCCAAAATGTCCGACGACGTGTGGTTGACTGTTTCAGATGTTGTTTTAGTGACACAGCCTACGAGTGCTCCACCTCCTTCACGGCCTCCCCCTACGCTTGCCGCCAAGAAAGGACCAACGGAATCCAACACTAGTAATGCATATCCACATGATCATAATCAAGGTTACAATCCTTTTATAAGTTCAACAAATACTTCTAAAACACCCAAAATTGATGAATTAGAAGATTTTGTCATGGCAAAGCCTTCTAGCTTGGCTAATGGTTGTCTGCAAGATCTAAATCATAATGGAATTGGGATTGGACAAGATTCATCTACATCTGCTGCAGGTTTCATGGATTGGGCTGAGCTAAAACACTCTAAAGGGGTGAACCAAGGGAACTTTGATTCTTTGTTCGCTAGCAGTCAGTACCAAGAAAAAGAGAAAGCAGTGCTCTATGCTTCTGGAATGGAAAGCAGAGATGAGGAAGAACTATTAGAGCATGAGAAAAAACAAAGAGAAAAGGAAGAGGAACAGAGAAAACTAGAAAGGGACAGGGAGGAAGAGCTTGAGAGGGAAAGAGAAATGATGAGAAGAAGGGAACATGAGGAGCGGAAGAGGCGTGAAAAAGAGAGAGAGGCGAGGCACATTGTGGAGAAGGCCATGCGAGAGGCACGTGAAAGGGCAGCTGCTGAGGCACGCATGCAAGCTGAGAGGGAGGCTCGTCAAAGAGCAGAGCGAGCTGCTGTACAGAAAGCAGCAGCAGAAGCACGAGAGAGAGCAGCAGCAGAAGCACGGGAGAGAGCTGCAAAGGCGGCTGCAGAAGCGAAGGAAAGGGTGGCTGAGGAGGCTAGGGAAAGGGCTGCTAAAGCTGCTGCAGAAGCCAGGGAACGGGCAGCTACAGAAGCTAGGGAAAAGGCAGCAGCAGAAGCTCGGGCTAAAGCTGAGCGAGCTGCTGTTGATAAAGTTGCAGCAGAAGCACGAAGAAGGGCTGAAAGAGCAGCAGTTGAGAGGGCTGCTGCAGAAGCTCGACAAAGGGCTGCTAATGAAGCTAGAAAAAGGGCTGAAGCTGAAGCTCGAGCAAGAGAAAGTCAGCAGAAAACAGCTCAACCTGATCTCGACTCATTCTTTGGTATGCCTTCTAGATCAAGCAGTGTACCGAGATCACAGACTGCAACAACGGTAAGCAGCTATGCAAATTGTTTTGGCACAAAAATGGGGGGGGGGGGGGATCCTAATTTATGTTTGTCTTATCACCTTTTCATCTTTTCAGAATCCTTTTGATGTCCAACCTCAAGGTGGTTCAGATTTTGGTTCTATAAGGAGGACTTCTTCTGGTTCAGCTTCTCCCTTTGCACAACCTCCATCTACTAATCTTATGGATGACCTCTCTTCTATATTTGGAGGTATGATTATAGTAGATTTTGAACAGTGCCTTGTTTTGAACATCTCAAGTTACCACTGATCATTTGTTGAATGTTCTTCATAATAGCACCTTCATCATCTGCTGTGTTTCAAGAAGTGGATGGAGAGAGTGAAGAGAGAAGGAAGGCAAGATTGGAGCGTCACCAGAGGACAATGGAGCGTGCGGTATGCTGACATATAATTTATTAGCTCATAATTTCTGAAAGCAGCATTTATTGAAGATAGTTCTGCTGCATCATATTGCCATCAATATGACATTTGCAGGCAAAAGCTCTTGCTGAGAAAAATGAGCGTGATTTGCAAGTTCAGTGGGAGCAGGAAGAGAGACATGTAAGTCTATATGATTTTAGCCATACTGTTAGAACCCAGTGTGACTGGGCAATATTTGAATTTCAGCTTATCAGCCGCAGCCAAAATTTAAATTTTAGAACTTAATTTTAGAGTTGATTTTGTTGTTTTTTCCAAGCGTAGTTTATTTTTCAACATTGGCTTTTAAGTCGCTAAGAACACATATATAACGTTCTACCCATAAATTAAGTTCTTTGTCACTAATAAGTGTTACGGCTTATAATCGGTTGTAGACGAAACGATGGGACTGTTAATGGCAATTTCTTTTGTCAGCACAAAAGAAACACCAATTTTAGTTTAGCAGTGAAATGCCAATTTTAGTTTCTGGCAATCACTATCAATCGTAGTTTAGCTGTGAAATGGCAATTTCTTTTGTGTTCTTCTTTCCTTTTTTTTTTCTTTTCCAATTGCGCATCTTCATTTTATCAGTGATGTGGTCTTTCTTTTCAGAGAATTGGTGAAACACTTGATTTTGAGATAAAGAGGTGGGCCGCTGGGAAAGAAGGCAATTTGCGAGCCTTGTTGTCAACGTTGCAATATGTAAGTATGCTGTTTCCAGTGTCTGTATCCTCCTTTGATTCTTTTAGGCCTTGTTCGGTTCCATGGGATTTAATCCCCAAGTGGAATATATCCAGGGAGGGATTGAGTGAATCCCTGTCATTTCACTCAATCCCTGTTGGGGATGAATTCCCTTGATTTTTCTAATCCCTGTCTTGAAAACGTTTGTTCGGTTTTGGCTTGGTGCGCCTGCTTCAAACCCGTGTCAAGGCAGCAACAGCAACAACAGAAGGATTGGTGCTTTCCTGCTTCAACGCTGCATGCTGTCCATTGAGTTTAGAATAGCAAAATTGATGTTCAGGTTGGCAGTTTAGAATAGCAAAAAAAATATTGCAAACCGATATTTTTGTATAAGTGAAAAGTGCAACATGAATGAAATTACACTTCAGTAAAAAATATTGCAGTAACCTCATCAATTACACGAAAACAACATTGATTAATCATTAAAACAAAAATATTGCAGTATCATCAAGACCTGTATTCGGTTTAAGGCAAGGAGGCATCACCCAACAAAGCTTGAGGCCACTTGACAATACGGAGACAACTAAATACAGTCTTAGTAGTGAAATTTGACAATAAAAAAGAAAAAAGATAAAACTATGTCATGATTCACTTGAGATAATTAGCTAGGAGATAATTGTCAAGCTATAAAAATAAATGTGAGCTGCCACACCAGGACTCCCAGGCCAAATGGTTACATCAGCAATATACAATGATTCAAAGATCAACATTTGTTGCTCCTGCAAAAAGCCAACATCGTGTACATGTCTGCTCATCCACTCAGTATATGAACCACCATCCTCTCAGACTTCCTTCCTCCCAAAGCCTGAAGAGAAGAAAGAAGTTTTCTTTAGTTTTCAGTTGTAAACTGCAATATGTTAGGCAATGCTTCTGTGCGGTGAGCCATTGTCTCAAATTTCTTGAAACCAGCCAACTATTGATCCTTGGCAACATTTTACCAAGTTTTCAGTTTGGCAAGTGATTGTTTGAAGCTGTATTGCGTGCTTTGCCTAATAGCTAGCAGTGCTAGAAACATGGACATGCATATGAGACTAATGCTAGCAGTGCTTCAGATATCAAAATGAAATTAGGACACATATAAGATTGAGCAAGCAAAAAACTGACATCAATAGTAGCTATAGTAGAAGCAAAAATCAGTAGTCTGCAAAAGTAGATTAAGCAAGCAATAGCTGCAAAAAACATGTTTTACATCCAGAATTTCTTCATTAGATGGTTCTACAAAAGATCTACTAAAAATGGACCAACCCAGAAAATTATTTTTAGACCATTTGAACCATGTACCAAAACAGTTCAGATTTAAGTAAGTTGTATTCTGCCGACTGCCAAGAGCTTTTTACAGGCCTGAACTAAAGCTGCACAGGACTCATTTTTCTGACTACTTCAATTTGAACTTTGTACTTTGTTCAGAAAATATGGCATGTGGAATGGCTCCTCGATCTACTTGTATTATGGGCACTGTCAAGTATGGGTGAGATTACAAGAGCAGACAACTTGTTGGAATCACTTCTCCAACTCTAATTGGTGCACATGCAATCTACATAAATTAAAATATAGCGTGACTTTGTGCATACTTAGAAAAAAGGACAATATCAAGCAGCTATCCTTATATCAATTATAAAAACTTCAAAAGGAACAGACACCTCAATTGCCAATTGATCATCAGAGTTTAACACTAAACTATGGGAATTAATCTTAAGAAGTTCCAAGTTATGAAGCATATTTAAAGATTGAATAAAAGATAGCACGAGTGGCTTGGATAATTTCTAAATTATATAAATTTGACACTATATAATTTTCTCTCTGTTCTCAGTAAGAACAGAACACTTGAACATTGAGCTTTTGCAGACTTATTACAAACTACAAATCCAAGTCTGTACTTCATCCAAAGCAAAGCACATGAGAACAATCTTAATTTTAGTGTGGAGCAGCTTTCAGTCAGAGTATCGAGAACATGAGACAAAAGCACAAGAATCTTTGCGTACTAGCTTGCTGCCTGGCTGTGCTTGCCCAATCAACACTAATATCCAACCAACAGTGACCCCTCCTTCCTTGTGTTGTGCACACTGCACAGAGAAAATTAAAGATCCTACTACTATCTCACAAATCATTGATCATATAGGAGTATCTGTCAGGAGGGCTAGTTAACATTTGTGAAGAAATGAGTAGTGCCGCTGCTACTATCAGCCAACACTTCATCTTATCTATTCTCGAGATCGCATCTCTAATAGTTTCCACTAATTTTAATTTTATTCTTCTTCTCTGAGAACCAAGGGAGAAAGAAGAACAAATCAAGAAACCTTGTGAGGAACAAAGAACAGATCCATGTCCTCCCGCTTCTCCTTGCCGCAGCGCTAGAGCTTCAACGGCACCACCGTGAGGGGGTGTGATGCTGCGGCGTCCCCCGCCATGCCTGTCACCGTCGTGCGCTGTTGCCGTCGCCGCCGCAGTAGCACGAGCACAAGAAACCCTAACACTGGATGAGGAGGCTAGGGGAGATGGGAAGGGAAGGAACTCACCGGGGAGAAGGTGGCCACCGGAGGAGACAACTGCCGGAGAAGAGAGCGTGCCGTCGCCGTCGCTGTCGCGTCGGAGCCGCGCCGCGCCGCGCCGTGCAGCTGTCCCTGCCGCAGCGCCCCCTCTCATTGCTCCGCTGCATCAAGAGGGTTTTTTCCTCGCCACCAGAGAAGCTGAATATTTCCCGGCCGATGACGAGGGGAAAACACCGGGGTGGGCCGGGATAAAATCTCGCCTGGGCTTAACCGAACGCCTATATTTGCGTGGACCGGTATTCTTTCCTCGGCAGGATTTTCCCCGGGTGTTTCAGCCCAATCCCGGGGGTTCCCGGCCCAACAGAACAAAGCCTTAGGGACACTAAGAATTTGCTGACACCCTGGCTGACTGTTGGGGTGCTACATAATGTGGTATAATTACTGTTGTTAACATGCTACTTGTGTGCAATAAAGGTTGTTTTCTTAAATAAATAAGAAGCTATACTTGAAAGGGTAAAGTCCTTTTTTAGCCCTTAAACTTTTGTCAAAGTTCATTTTTCACCCTACTTGAAATATTGTCAGCTTAGTTTGGGAGCTTGAAATGGATATTTAGCTACACTACTACACTAGCAAAGTATAAAATAGCTTATACTTCTGAGCAGATCCATAATAATTCATTAATATGAGGTGTTAGTGTTATTTATGATATTGTAATTATACGCTATGGTTTCACTACGTCCTTGAGTCCTTGTACTGTACAATATATACACCCTTCACTAGTGCAATATAACTAACATCATTTTTGTGATTCCTCTTCACAATTTAACATAAGGCACCAAAGCCTTTTGCATGTGGATTTGGGAGGTAAAAAATCTAGATCATTCTACATGAATATTAGATGTGGTTGCTTGCTCAATTTTCTTCTGCCCCCTCATTGTTGCCAAACTAAGAGTTGAAATGGTTTTGTGCCTACAAGGATTTGCCATTTATTTGTTATAAGTTGTTTTGCATGCCCTTAGTGCACTTCTAATATATCTGAACCTATGCCAGATTCTGAACCACACTATTAAATCTTTTACTCATGCATGGATATCTTGTAGATGACCTTTAGTATCTCCCATCCTCTATTAATAGATCTGTGCTACAATTTACACCTGATAGAATTGTCTTGAAGGTATAAGACATGGTACAAAAATACTTATGCCACTCTACTATGGGGTGAAGTGAACACAATTTAAATTTAACTTTCCTAACTATTATTATTATTATCTTTTTGCAGTACTTATGCTCTTTGTTAATTTAATTCAGGTTCTTTGGCCTGAATGTGGGTGGCGACCTGTATCATTGACTGATTTGATTACAGCCGCATCTGTCAAGAAAGAATACAGGAAAGCAACATTATGCATCCATCCTGATAAGGTGCAGCAAAAGGGTGCAAATCTTCAACAGAAATACATTGCAGAAAAGGTGTTCGACCTTCTGAAGGTATGATTTGTTTGCTAAATGCCGTTCTGGCTTCTGACAAGTCTAATTTGAGTTTATCCCTGCACTCTACAAGTTATTTGAGCACACTTGCATAACTGTGCTTCAAATGCATTGATAGTTACAACTTACAACACAAATATGCGGTTTTTTGTAAGAATAGTGGTAGAAATTTTCATTTCTGGCACATGCTGGTCTAGTGTAAATGCGCTATCATAACTTCACTTAAAATGTTTAAAATGGAAACGCCAGCATTTATCCTGTGCCCATCATTAAGACAGCTAATCATCTTCCCATTTTCTTGAAAAACCTTACTTGGGAGCATGCATGGAGTTCCAGAATTGCAGAATTATTTTGTTTTGCAACTGAAATTACACCAATAATCACTTCTGTCATTTCTCAAAATAAGGGTCCTGGTCTAACAATCTGAACCCTCATTTGCGTACCTTCTATCGTTCCCTGGGAACAGCCAATGTGCAAAAGTAAACATCAATGAATATTGACCACAGCTTATTCATTTGAGTAAAAGAAGTAGTATTAAACTATGAGCCAACTTTCCAGCACAATGCTTTATAGCCAATTAACTTGCTCGCGGCCAACAGAGATGTATTTAATTAACACTATAGGAGCTCCATCCCTCAAGCCTGTGATCTTCTCTAGAGTTTCTTGGTATGTTATGTCCATAGCCTTAGTCAGCTTGACTTAAGGTTGGTGTTGTAATAGTTGTTTTACTCCCTCCGTTTCATATTATAAGTTGCTTTGACTTTTTTTTATAATCAAACTTCTTTAGGTTTGACTAAGTTTATAGAAAAATTTAACAACGTCTACAACACTAAATTAATTTTCATTAAATGTGACATTAATTGTATTTTGATAATATGTTTGTTTTGTGTTGAAAATATTGTTATATTCTTTTATATATTTGGTCAAACTTTAAAAAATTTGACTAGAAAAAAGTCAAAACAACTTATGATATGAAAGGAAGGAGTAGTTGATTGTACGAAGAAACATATTGGAATGTATAATGTCCATAGTGAACATATATAAATTTACAATGTCCATAGCCTTAGACAGCATGAATAAATTGGTACAATGACTCCCCTAAATCAGCTTCATACATGTCCAAAACCATAGGATAGCCTCTCGTGCAGCACTTAAGACACACCACATGGAATGTAACCCTCATGGACTTTGCCTAGAAGGTTTGCGAAACTGTTTCCTTCTCTGTGCTGCCTGAGTGTTACGTCACTGATCTCGAGGGCAACTCATGCTAAGGTGGAGTTAGAATGCCTAGAGGAGATGTACAACATCCAGCAGAGTCTGCGTGGGTTTAAGATGCAAATGGTGCGTTTGCCATTATTAGTATATGTTTCTTTTGTTTTGTGATGCCGAGCACGTAAACTCTGGCATCTTACTGAGATCTAGTACTCTTCGTTCATTTTCATTCTCATGCATGGACGACATATTCATCAAGGCTGCGTAGAGCTGTAGTGTGTGCATTTGCTTCCTGGACTGGTGTACATGATTGTATTAATTTTTAGTCCGTGCCCCCACATTTCCTGTGTCCTACTGTCCTTCATTGGCTAGTTGATTAATGACAACTTATGAGCCATAATGTTCTATTACACTTCTCTTATATTCTATTGTGGAATAAACAGGAAGCATGGAACAAATTCAACTCGGAAGAACTCTTCTAACACTTAATCGTTTGTCAATCCCTGAGCCACTGAGGTACTAGGAAGGAAACAAATGACATACTGGTAAAGCTTTTATTGTTTTCTATCATTATAATAGCTCTTTTTCTTTTTTGCTTATTCTTTGGTCTGATTCTTTGGATTCATTCTCATGTAACCATAGTTTGCTTCCTGGAACTTGTGTGTTGTATGTATCTGCCAATTTTGGTACCCATGGCTGTGTAAGTAGATTTATAGAGAAACAACCCTGTAAATCCGGTGATGTTAAACATTCCATTTTGGGAGAGTAGTATATATTTTTAGAGAAAATTTATGGTCTTTGAGAAAGTATCAGGAGGTACTAAAATATTACACTAAAACTTTGTATGTTCTATGGGTGATGTAGTACTTGGTAAATCTGTATCAAATTTGCTGTCAGGAGAGCAGTCCAGCCATAATTAATCCTGGAACAGAGTTTTGCATAACTTGTGTCCTGCTTTGCAAGCTCTTTCATATCTTTACGCAGGATCAGCATATCGTTCCCAAATCGCGTTCTGAACGGTTGGTTCAAGTAATATTTGTTTGCCCCCTCTTACCTGTAGTGCTCTGTTCAAAGCAAGATGTACACAATTTGTGAAACAAGGTACTCTATACTCTCTACCTACGAGAGTTGTGTGCGGATTGGTGCAATAAAAGCGTTTCATACAACTGGTACAAGCTTAAGCCTAAATAGTCACCACACTATTGTGACTGAGGCAGTACTTCTCTATTGCAGCGCTGTTCGTTTCCAGCCAGTAATTTTGACCTTTAATTTGGATCTCATTGCGAGACGTGGACAGGTGGATGATGTTAAAAACCTTTGTGATGTTAGTGTACGCATGATATGTGTGACCAGAACCTGATCCATATTCCAGCATCATGTTTAGCACAATAGTAGTAACAATTTTTTTGACGACAATACGATAAGAGGAAATGATAACCGGATACTTCAACAGAATGCACAACTGCAAAGACCTGCAAGCCACCGCTGCATTGTTACATTGACACTTTACTAGGCTACTAGCCTACTGCCTCTTCGTCGCTTGGCGGAGACCAGGGTTTCCTAAACCGCCGGGGCTGGGGTTACCGTGCCCCGGCGGTAAGCACGGTTACCGCGGTAACTGTGAAAAACCATACAAAACCGTGAAAAATTTATTAAAAATTCAAATTATTTTTTAAATTTATTTGAATTTAAGGAGGTTACCGCGGTATTTATATTACCGTACCCCCGCAGTAAGCCCGATAACCCTATCGGCGGTAACGTAAACCCTGGCGGAGACATGGGCTTCTTGAGCACAGAGACGTGCACCGCACAACGAAGCAGTCATCGAACCTCTCCACGGCCTCCTTCCTGAGACTAAGGGTGGTGTTTGGATCCAGAGACTTAACTTTAATCTCTGTATTTAGATACTAATTTAGAGTATTAAATATAGACTACTTACAAAACTAATTACATAAACGAAAACTAATTTGCAAGACAAATTTTTTAAGCCTAATTAATCCATAATTAGAGAATGTTTATTGTAGTATCACATAGGCTAATCATAGATTAATTAGGCTCAATAGATTCGTCTCGCGAATTAGTCCAAGATTATGAATGGGTTTTATTAATAGTCTACGTTTAATATTTATAATTATTATCCAAACATCGAATGTGATAGGGACTTAAAAGTTTTAGTCCCATCTAAACAAGCCTCCGCCCCGGCGCCGGAGCGGAATGCGTGTGAGCACTGTCCGCAGTGTCCTTGGACTCCGGCGACGCCGGCTTGCCGGATTTGTCCAGCAGCGTGCACGCGAACGACGCGTGCACGCGACCATCATCGTCCGCCGGTCTGCTCAGGAGAACGGGGTAGAGAGACACCCTGGAGCTGACGCGGTTGGGGACTTGGGGTAGTAGCGGATTGCCCAGTTGTGGCCGCCGACGGAGAAGGCCTCGGACTGGTAGAAGTCCTCTTCGCCGGCGACCGCCTTGGTGAGGGAATAGCCGTACGAACCGGAAGTCGTGGACCCCTGTTGCCGCGGCGGTGACGCTGATGGTTTGGACGACGGTGTTGGTCGACCCTGCCATTGCGGGCTCCTGCATCACCTGCGCCTACTAGCTGGAGTATACTTGTGGAGCGCAGGTTGGTTGCTACTTGGGAAAACACACACCGCTTCAGAGAGTGGGATTTATACTTGTGGAGCAGTTCTTTGGTGCGGCGCTGCGTATACAAAGCATGTACAATAGCAGACTATAAACCAACTATAAATATATTTTAAAAAAATAAAAGAAGAGAGAGAAGAGCAACGAGCTACAGATCTGTAGCCAGCTGCAGCACGGACTTCAAGACGTAATGTGTGTATAATAGGTGGGACTAGATATTAATAGTGTAGTAAGCAACTATTGCATGAATTGGCTATTACATTAGCTATATATGATTTGGAGCTAGTAGTTGGCTATACTATTAAACTTGCTCTAATATGTTGGCATGCACGCGCGTGCAGTGTACCGGCGGCGACTCCTCGTGGCTCGCGTAATGCAATTGACGAGGCCGTTATCGTCGGTTTCCAACAAGCGTTGAAGCATCGCTGCAGCTGAGGCTGGAATCTGTAGACTGTATTATCGTCAATAACGTCGCTGTTGGTTATCAGGGCACCCACAATGGTTATCTATAGGCTATCTATAAGAGATCCATGTCAGCATATTTTCCTACTTGGAAGAGATTAAATGAAGAGAAAGAGAGCAAAGCTATCTACTAACCTGGAGATAGTCTATAGAGAAAAACGAGGCAATGTATTAGAGAGCTATAGATACCCATGTAGACATACTATTGAGATGGTTTACTATTAATCTAGTCTATTGTTGAGATGTACATGTTTTATAGATAGCACCTAACTTTACCATTGCGGATGCTCTCATGAACTCAACTACACAGGGCAGTAGCATTGGAAATCAACTAATATGATACGAGGCTATTTGCATGCTAAACATAGAAGAACTATCTGCGGTGATAACATATTCACTTTAAAGCAAATTATATTGAAGATTTAGATGCCATTGTTGGTATCAAATGCCGCCACACCTTGAGTACATCGTATGCCCCACAATGTTACCCGAAGACATGCCACCGTTATAATAGTGAGCTATAAGCCTAGTATAAGTTTATGTAGAGGAGAGAGGTAGTGAAAAATCAAGGATGTTAGCTCTTATGCAAGAGTTAACTTATCACAAGCCACAAGACAAATACATTGAATGTATAAGTGAGAGATAGAGAGAGGAGAAGAAAATTGTAGCTAACCTTATAGCTAATCTATTATACTATATGTTGGCTTTAAGATGGGCTAATAGTAGTATGTGAGCTCTACTATTATCCTTGAGGGAGGTAGATGCCACCAAATACACAGCCGAGGAAAGGATCCTCTTAGGGAGAGATGAAAACGGAACGGATATGAACGGATAATGCTCATACCATATTCGTTTTTATATTTTTTGTTGGATGCGAAAACGAATACGAATAGCTCGGATACAAATTATCTTGAATAGAATAAGGGTCGAATATGATCATACACGAATACAGAAATATTTTTTTTTCTCCGAATACGAAAACCACCTCAACTTCTAATATAAACAAGGAACAATTGCTTTTTGACCCCGTTTCGAAGCCCAACTACCAAATGTTTTCCTAGTTTGCTTATTTGACTCCGCTTTTCAAAATTGAACATCCTGACTGACCCTATTTCCATACACCGTTAGGGTTTTATTTAGAAAAATAGAAAAAATATATACTATTCGAATGGACCAAAATACCCTCGAAGAGGGTTGAACCCTATCCATTCGGCTCAACCTCTCCTCTCTCTCTCATTCGGCCCAACCCTATCCATTCGGCGCTGGCGGGGACGGCACGCGTCGCTATTGATGGTCGTTATCGATCAGTTTCGACCGTCAATATTACTAAAACAGGAGAGAACTAGTGATGCTTACAATGCATAAATATGTTAGAATAATAATATTCCACTAGTATTAGGTCTATTAACCTTGTGCAAAGAATGACAATAAAATAAAGGAGAATCGACATCAACTCAGACGATAAATCAATCGGACGATGTCGAGAACCAGACTTGTGTATGAATGGGCCAAGAACACAGACTTGACACGATGAATCAGGCCAAAATTCACAAGTCTACGAAGTGAAGCAGCAGAGGAGGCCGCCAGCCGAAATTGGGCTGGATTGGGCCAGCCCCAGGTTCGGCCGAACCCGGTGGTTCGGCCGAACCTCCCTCGCCTCCGTTGGATCCAGGTTTTGGCTGGACGGTTGAGATGAAGCCTCAATGACGGTTGGAGGGTATTACCGACCATTCCAACTGTCACAACCGTCATAGTTCAGCTATAAAAGGACTTCACCTTCTCACTTCACTCACACACCTCAAGCAAGAGCTCTCTCATTCCTCTTAAGTTTAGTTTAGTAGTATCTAGCTGGTGGAATAGAATTAGAATAGGAATCAGGAGTCCGGAAGTCTTCGGAAGAGTTCGGGTATGGCTCTAGTAGCTTTTCTCTTCTCTTTTGTAAGCTTTGTACTTTTATTTGAATACTCTTCTAAATACATTTATGGTATTGAAATACTTTCCGAGTATATGAGTACCTACTTTACATTATGTTCATGTTATACTGAGTATACTGCTAGCTTATCTGGGAGATGCTTTGGTGTGGGTATAGTGTTTGCTTATGAAATTACTCTATGTCATGACGATGATATTAGAATAGTATCTGGTAGTTTAGACGTGGTGTCTAGATTACGGGATATCATTATTTGGGGTTATATATTGCGGATGAGAGGTGGGCCGCTGATGGTGACAGCTCAGTACGGGTATTCCTCCGCGCCTATATATAATCCTAAGTTAATTTCTTGGGGAGGGTATTCCTCCATATTTAGCCCCGGTTGGATGGTCATGACGGGCTGTCGTAAGGAACTCGGCAGTCAGGGGTGGCTTCTCGAAGTACCAGGAGGGCATCGGATAGAGGGTATTAGCTAGTATATCAGTTAACTAGAATGTATGTATGCTATGTATATTAGAAGTATAGGAATAGATTCTCTTTCTCTTTTCTTTCCAACTAGGTTAGATTATTTATTATGAGGATGAGTAGTAATGTTTGTGTGTCACTCTACCCTTGGATTATCTTAACCCCTGCTTAGAATATGATTATCACAAGTAATATATAAATTATTAGTTGAGTTCTCTCTACATGATCTTTCTACGGGATAAAATAAATACGATACTGTTTGAATACTCTTGGGTGAAATGCTACAATGGTATATCCGTGCGCTTGTGGATGAACTCTGTAACCATAATATACCATAAGTATTTCTGCGCTATTGCTGGGAATTATATTTCTAGTAATGTCGTTAAGAAATACCAACAGTCGCATCCTGTCTACGCGAGTAGAAGGGGATCTACCATGGCGCTAGCATGTAGAGGGAGGGAGCGCTGGCAAGCAGGGGAGCGCGTGGTGGTGGTTGCTGCGCTTAGAGGAAGGGCTGCGACAGCACCGGTGTGCAGAGAAAGGGAGCGGCAGAAGCAATGGCGTGTGGAGGGAGGGGGCAAAGTGTGTTGCACGTAGTGTCGGCGTCGCGGGAGGCGGCGGTTGTGACACTCAGAGGGAGGGCAATGACGGCGCCGTTTTGCGGAGGAAGGCTCCGGTGGAAGCGCTGGCGTGCAGGGGGTGGGGTTGGGGCGGGGCGGCGGGTGCGGCGCGCAGTGTCGGCGTCGGGGGTGGCGGCGGTCACGACACTCAGAGGGAGGACCATGGTGGCACCAGCGTTGGAGGAAGGGTAGCGGCTGTAAAAAAATCTACCATAATTTTATCAAATTTTGTTTACTTGATTTTGTCAAAAATCAACCAAATTAGTCAAAGTTTTTAAATGTAAGCCAAATCTATCAAACTTGTCTCGAATGTGAAAGATGTGTTAAATTTATTACAAATATGTCAAAATATCCGAATATATGCATGTTTTGAATTAACAAGGTCAAATAAGCAGAACATAACAGGATCGAATAAAGGGCAAAAGGTACTATTTGCCCCCTTAACGCTATTAACTCGTCTTAACGGAATACTCCCTCCGTTTTTTAATAGAAGACGTCATTGACTTTTTCTCACATATTTGACCATTCGTCTTATTCAAAAATTTTATACAAATGTATAATATATAAATCACACTTAAAGTACTATGAGTGATAAAATAACTCATAACAAAATAAATTATAATTACATAAATTTTTTGAATAAGACGAATGGTCAAACATGAGAGAAAAAGTCAACGGTGTCATCTATTAAAAAACGGAGATAATACTTTCAGACGGCATATTTGATTTTGAAAATAGGGTCAAATAAGCAAAGTATGAAAAGTATGGCCAGATTTATAGTTACGCTTCGAAGCCCACAACCGCCGGAGCCGTGACTCCAACGTCGCGCTCCGCCTCTCCCGCTGGCCACCGCGCGCCGGGCACCGCTCCCTCCTCTACCTATAGTAGGTCAAATGGGCGGCCCAGCCCAGCACGGCACGGGCCCACCAAAGGCACGGCTCCATAGCGGACCGTGCCGTGCCAGCCACGTGTGTCCCTCTGGCCCAGTCACGGCCCAAGGGGACGCCGTACCGTGCCGTGTCGGCACGGGCCCATTAGTGGCACGTGGGCCGGCGCCGGCCCGAAGGCACGCGAGAGGCCGAGAGGGGAAGCGCGCCAGCGCCACGCCGCCACGCGCGCGGTCTCGCCTCGCGCAAAAGTCGCGCCGTCGCTTACCGCCCGCCTGGCGCGCGACGCGTGGAGGCGAAAGATTGGAGCCGCGGCTAGCCCGACGCGGCCCGGCGGCGACGCAAGCGTGCGTAGGAGCGGGAGGTTTAATGGTTTTTGACGTCCCCAAGGTCGTTTTGACCAAAAAAAAAAAGCGAAAAGAAAAAGGATGCATGCTGGTTGGGTGCATGCATGTTTTTGAGTTTTGACGTTGCCGAGGTCGTTTATGCAGCAATACTATGGGAGAATTAATTCAAGAAGCAGTTAATGCATGTTTGTTGGGGTGGCTGCACGCCTGCACTGCCTTTTCGATTCCCGTGCATGCCACACAAACCAACCATGCAAGCATGCATGCGGTAAAAAAGGAGCGAGTGGTTTAACTAATCTCGGGAAAACCTCTCACAATTAAATCCTCGCATCTATGCACCCAGTAAAAAAGGAAATTCACTGGCCTCTCCTGCCATGCCGGGCCACGTGTCGGACCGTGCCGTGCTGGTCCACGGGCTTTGGAGTCGGCTCAGGCACGGCACGCTCGGCCGGGCCGTGCACAGCCCGGCCCATAAGCTCGCAGGCTCGTGCCGTGCCGTGTCGGTTACTGTAGCATCATGCTAGGGCTGGCCCGACATAGCATGGCCCATTTGGCCAGCTATACCTCTACCGCTGGCAGCCGCGCGCAGGGCTGAGAGTGACATGTGGGGCCCACGTGGGCCCACCTTTTCTTTTATAAATTTTTGTGTGAAACTGACATGTGGGTCCCACGAGGTTTATTATTTTTCCGGATCAAATTGCCACATAAGCACCACGTTAATGCCACATCAGATCAAGACCAAGTCAAATTAGCCACGTAGGCGCCACGTCAGTCAAAACCACCGAGGGATCTCATCTGTACTGGTTTTGATAGTTGAGGGACCCGTTGTATCTGGTTTTTCGGTTGAAGGATGAAAATCATATTCGTTGTTAAGTTAAGGGACTTTGGATGAACTTATTCCTTTCTATATAAGTTGGATGACTATGATTATTGGACATACACATTTGACATATATATTAAAATTTCGGCTTAAATCTTTCTTTTCACTCCTTATTAGCTCTCACTTACAAATAAATACCTACCACTCTATAACGATAAATTGATAACTTACAACTGATGTATGCAAATATGTTATACTATTAGTTACTCAAAGTTGTTCGTTTAAGCTTTCAAAATAGGCAAAACCGCCATCCAAAATCTATGGCCATGTCATACCGCTGCCTGAGAAGTTAAAGTGAAAATCATATTGTAAGTGGGCACAATTTATATTAGGACAATTGCATTCATGACCCCACTTTGAACCCCAATTGCTATTTTACCCTCACTTTTAAGGTTTGCAATTTTGCCCCCACTTTTTGAAAAACATTTGCCCTCACTTTTGACGCCTAGTTTTGACGGTGTTAGTTTTAGGGTGAAAGGATGTTTATACCCTTAGTTGTTGTTGCATTTTTGCCCTTACAAATAAGCCACAATACTTAGAAGTCATAGATAGCAAGCATTACTTAGTGTCACAGTCCTAAATACCGAAGGTAATTTATCCTACGAATCAAACTGAATCAAGGGATAACCACAATGGCATGAATAGATCAAATTACATGTTAATCTCTTCAATGAAAATCTGCTCCATTGATAGGAAATCCTCCGTTAAAGCTCTTCCCCTCACCTTCACCTCACCTACACCGAGCCTCTCTTCTTCCCGCCTACCACCAAGCCCAGCGGCCGCCACTCGCCGCACTGAGTTCCCGTCTCCTGACTTCTCGCTCTATTGGTAAAGGGAGCATGATCTTGCCTCTTCCGCTCCCAATGACGCGCTCCCCGCCTCTCTCCTCTCGTTCCCGCGCGTGGCCGCGTGAGTGCCATCTCTTTCTGCACAGGGAAGGAAGAAAACGAAAATGTCTGTTGGTAGTTTAACAGAAGGGTCCGCTTTCAATTTTTGGAAATTGAATTTAGGCTTTCTTTTGGAAGGATGAGTTTTTTTCACTTCCTATTTTCAGTTTAGGAAAAAAAAAATCAAATTTTAGGGATAAATTATTGCTAATCTGCCGGTGATGCTCTTATCAACAGGGCGATAATTTGGGAGATGGGAACTCCAAATCTTGGGCAGGAGAGTAGAGAATTTTTGGACTAAAATCCCTCAAAATCAGTTTTGGGAATAGATTAGAGGGACTATTGGTGATGCTCTTACTTTAATTAGAGTTACCGAGTTCCTATACCATTAACACTCTCTAACTTACCAGGCAGCGAAAGGTAGGTGAAGACGGGAAAATATACTTGAAAACTAACGTTGGATCGAAAAATGGACGTCCGAGATTCATCCACGTCATCACAAACAAAAATTTTATTCATGGATTTACTCATGAGTGACATGGACAAATCTCGAACGTCAATTTTGATCCAATGGTAATTTTCAAGTTTTCACTACATATATGGTTTCTGTCACATTTTTTTCCGGCGAAGACGGCAAAGGGAAGGGTCAGACCTCTCCTCCATCAGCTTACTCTCCCCTCACCATGTTCACAGGCAGAGAATTGAACCATTAGCATGTCCGAGACAATTTTGGACTGCACACAATACATCCTCCACCTCATATATATATGTGGTGTGTCACGGTTCTTTATTCAATCATATAACACTTGGTGAATATTAACAAGACAAAGCAGACCTTCCAAGGGATCAAGTTAGGGATGGCAATTGTGCCCGTTTACCCGCGGGTAAAAACCCTATTAGGGTTGGGTTTGTTCTCTATTTTATACCCATGGGTATTTTATTGGGTCAAAAGCTATGTCCGATGGGTAAATGGGCATGGGTATGGGTAATCACTACCCATGCCCGCTTTGCCTGTTTACCCGCGAAATCTAACTTACATGTAGGCTAGGAGTAAAATCCACTAGAATACATAAGCCACGTTCTTTGTTTTCTACGGTTTTCCTTTTATTTCCCTTATTATTTCTCTCCTCTTACTCTATCGCCGCCAGAGGAGAGACACGACACCGAGGCGGAGAATATTTGATGTTTTAAGTTCGATTCGAACTTAGTAACTTGTAGACTTTTTGTTTCACTGCTTTTATTGTGGCGGGTAAACGGGCACGCCCGCGGGTATAAGGCGCCCGCGGGCAATGGGCATGGGCAACCATCCTTACCCGTCATGTAGTAATGGGTATACCCACGGGCACAAATAATCTCACAGGCATGGGTATGGGTAGGCACTATCCGTGCCCGTCGCGCCCGATTGCCATCCCTAGATCAAGTGAACACATACAAATGATACCCGACTTATTGCAATTACACACGTGCACGACACACAACACAACTATAATTAATTACAACAATATGGTTTTTCTTTGACAAAATACATATATATCAACTGTCATCGTCGCTACTGTCGTTGTAGCAGTAACGACACCGTGGCACATATGTCCTTTCTCCATTTCTAAATATTTGACACCGTTAACTTTTTAGCACGTGTTTAACCGTTCGTCTTATTCAAAAAATTTTGTAAAATATATAAAACTATATGTATACATAAAAGTATATATTTAAGAATAAATCAAATAATAGAAAAAGAATTTATAATTACTTAATTTTTTTAATAAGACGAATGGTTAAATATGTTTAAAAAGGTCAATCGCGTCAAATAATTAGAAACGGAGAAAGTATATAAGTAGGCGTAGCGTGCCCAGGATCATCATGGGCGGATGTAGACGCCAACTGCATCAAGGAGTGCTCCAGAGCGTCCAAAGAAACCAACAACAGTGGCGTTGCCCTGCAGCGGAACATTGAAGGGTGTTCCACTCTTCACACCCAGCTCATACGTTGTAGCATCGGTGACGATCTTCAGGTATGTCACAATGTCGGCCAAGGTTCCAAACGGGCCATGGGTTCCAGAGAATTCCTTCACACGCTCTGTAGGGCCAATCTTGAACTGAAATTGCGAGAAGATGATTTGATTTAGTTGCATGCATGGTATGCTAGATTGGCTGTCATGTTTTGGCTTTTATGTTATTGCAGCGGAAGCTAAAGAAAACTATTGTACGCTAGAATGTGGTCACTAATCACCAACTAATGCCGTATACAGAATCTGATTTCGACTCCTAAGAATCATTGTGTTCCATTTTTCCATACAGACAACGGTAGGAACGGACTCAGACCGACTGCAAGGCCTATGGTTCTTTTTTACTGAAATTATTGTCAGACCTTACCCAGCATATATCAATAAAAGAAAATCCAGCATATGGTATTTTGTCAGGAGCTCAACCTAACATGGTGGAAATTTATATTCGCTCATGGGCTTTCAAGAACAAAGCTCTGAACCATATATAGCCAGAGGGTGCCCAGGGCTAGCTTAGGTCCGCCAGTTGATAACCAGTAGTGGAGCTAGCTAGCCATAGTTTTTTCAAACATATGGCTCAATTAGTTGAATTTATATAATTTTACCTTTATCTTCTAGTTTTGAAGTTTTTAAATGGAATTTCAATGAATATTTTGGATCATGAGTAGGCTGCAGCCCTAGCTAGCTGCTCTACTCTTGTCTCCGCCCCAGGATGACAATGCATACCGTAGTAGGGCTTCCGCCAGGACCACCCCATGGACCAACCACATGCTCCAGTCCATCCATTCCCACGTAGGAGAAGGTGATAGCATCAATCGCTTGTCCACTGCGAATAGTCACGCTAGTGAGTTTGCAGGGTGGCACACTGATGTCCTGAGCGGACCCTCCATTTCCACCCCACTGCCCAATCTTCACCAGCGCCATATGTGCTCTGCATACACACATGGGCTAGTTTTAGCTATAAAAAGAGCACAAAACCAACTGAAAGAATTTGAGATACAAATTAAATTGAAGCACACAACATATAATGTAACAATAGCATTATACAGATGATGCCGACAAGAGATGGAAGAGCAATATTGAAGCACATAAAATAACTACATGCTATACTGTATATAATACCTCACACTTAAATTGAATGTTGTCTTATGAAGATGGTAGGTATGTTTATGTGATCCTTTTGAGAATAGGAGGCCCCTATTTATAGTGGTCTAGATAGAGCCTAGGTGGTATAATCTAGTCTTCATTTGCCTTTCCTTTTCTTCTTGGGGAGTCTACATTTGATTTTGATCGGGTACATTCTTCAAAACATTCACGATGTTAACCCCTAGTATACGTAACGGTAGTAAGTTGATGAGGCACGCATTTGGTATAGAAATCCGGATGCTTTAATTTCTTGGTAAAATTCTCTATTATATCAAAGTTTCAATAATGTGTAGTTTCTGGTTAGACGGGTCAACTTTGCTCGTTTATAGCAACACAATTTGAATGCAAATGTGCAATGAATCCTCATCATTGTGAGAGGCGGCCACTTGATAGCATCACTACTGGAGAAACCATCTTTGGTCGGTTGCCCAAAATCCACAATAATCCCAGTTTGAATAGGAACTGGGACTAAAGAGGGGCAGCCACTTGATAGCGTCACTACCGGAGAAACCATCTTTGGTCGGTTGCCCAAAATCCACAATAATCCCGGTTTAAATAGGAACCGGGACTAAAGAATATCTTTAGTCCTGGCTAAAAGACCTGACGACACTTTTTGATCTTTAGTCCCAGTAGGTGTTACCAACCGGAACTAAAGATCTATTTTTAGTCCTGGTTGTTAAACAACTGGGAACAAAAAAAATCATCCAAACTGCCGTGCGCGCACCCCGCCTCATCCTCCCCGCCCCCAATTCTTAGCCAAACAATATCTCTTCTCTCTTCTCCTCTTCTCACCCCTCATTCTAACCTTATCTCTTCCCCATCTTCTCCTCCTTCTCCTCCTCTCCTCTCACCCCTCTCCTCGCCCTCATTCTCTCCCCCTCCCCTCCCATGAGGCAGCCAGACGGCGGCAGGGCGGCGGTGGCCTCCCCTCCGCTGGATCCGGGAGGGGAGGCGGCCGGGCGGCGGCGGCGGAGTGCGGAGGGCGGCGGCCGGCCACAAGGTGGCGCATGGCCGTTCGGCGGCCAAGTGCAAGGTGGCCGGCAGCGGCTCGGCGCAAGGCGGCGCACGACCGAGCGGCAGCTGGGCGGTGGCGAATGGCGACGGTGGATTTTTTTTTGTGAATTATTTGTATGGAATGATTTGTATATTTTGTTAGAGATTTTTTTTGTTGATTTGGGGATGATTTTGTGATTGATTTGTAGATTGTGGATGTGTATGTATATGTATTGTGGATGATTTTATTGTGCATACTTTGTGGATAATTTTATTGTGAATGATTTGTGTGGATTTGGGTGAAGGAACAAATACAAGCAGCGAAAAAAAATAAATAAAAGAAAAAAAACAACCGGACTGATTCGGACATGGCCCCTGTTCATCTTGGACTAAAGATAGATTTTAGTCCCGGTTATTTTACCCAGAACTAAAGATGGTTTTTAGTCCCGGATTCATACTCCCGGACAGAGGAGTACAAGGGATTACGAACCGGGGGTAAATACCCTTTCTCCACTAGTTCATATAGCAACTGCAAAAAATCCTTAACTAGCATGTCGATCGAATACGTACTGGCAGCTCGACATAACATTATCCTGCTGTTTCTCTAGTATCCACTAGATGTTGTTACTGACTTGACTTTAGATGGACAAGCGTGCACGCCTAAGGTGAAGCATAATTATCACTTATCAGAAACCCAAGATGAGGTACGCCGCGTCTTCATTACAGGGATACATTGTTTTGTTTGAGGGAATTTGATACAGGAATACTGGCAGCTATTGGTGTATATATTTGTCCCTTTCTGATCAAATCATCAAATGGATAATGCACACCCGTCAAAAAAAAAAAGGATAATGCACACACATGGCTAATAATCCATGTAAAGCGTAGAACAATAAATAGTAACTAAAATGAGGTAATAACTACAAGGTAAGATAGAACCATGTTGATGCATATGCCGCTGATGTATAGAAAAAAAAAACCCTGTTATTAGCGTGCAAGTGACTCGATCCATAAGTCGCTGGTTCCGTACAAGTGGCTTGATTAGTTTGCTTGGTACGTAATAACCGTTATCATATATATATTGAATTATTTGCCGCTATAGTTCTGTACAGGTTGTTTGATCGATCTGCTTGATACTACCTCTATATTTTATATTTTAATGTATGACGCCGTTGATTTTTTTTTCAACGTTTGACCATTTGTCTTATTAAAAAAAATTATGTAATTGTCATTTATTTTATTGTGACTTGATTCATCACCAAATATTCTTTAAGCATGACATAAATATTTTTATATTTGCATAAAATTTTTAAATAAAACGAATGGTCAAACGTTGATAAAAAGTCAACGACGTCATACCTTAAATACGGAGGGAGTACATGGTTATGGACGAGAAGCGTACGTGCACGGGCATAGAAGTTTGAAGGGCTTATTCGGTTTGAAGAAATTGTAACATATAGGAATAGAAAAAAAAAAGACGAATCTGAATGAACTTACACATCAATTCATCCAGAAGGTTAAGTGATGAAAAATTTCCTATAATTTCTCGATACAACTAGTAGGAAAGAAAAAATTCTTTGATTTTCCTATACTCCATTCCTACAATCCGAATGACACCAATCTCCACTATTATAAAAATCGAAGATGTTTCTGACAGAATTTTGGTACGTCATCGATGTTTAAATCGGTTTTAATTTTATGATTGGTTTTAATCTATATACCTAATAAAAAATTTCGTAAGGCTTCCGGTTTTTTATGCCCTATTCGGATTTTTTTCATCGTTGTTTCCTTCCTATGCGGTTTTCTTTATTTTCCAGCTTTTTTCATACGGTTTTTTATGGTCCGTCCGGATATTTTTCGTCGCAGTTTTATATTTTCTGGTTTTTTCAACTGCCTTTTTTCGTTGCGATTTTTTTCTTGCATGCGGTAAGGGCTTCCGGTTTTCTTTTCGTCACCATCTTTTTCCTTCGCCAAGCCGAATCCTAGCTCCGTCGCCATGTTGATATGTCTCTCCATGCGTTTCTTCCTCCAATTGATTCCCCACTCCCCTCATCATTTTTTCCATGATTTCCACCTTCAATTTGACTTTAATTTGCTGGATTTAATCTCCATTTAACCATCACCGATGATGGTCGGCCAGCGAGTTTCATCACCGTTTTATATTCCGAGTTTTGTTCGCTCTGATTTTGGGAAAAATGGAAAGAGAAAATCGAGTAGATCAAAAGCCCTAAATTAATTTTTGAAGATCGAGAAAGATTCGGCCGGATTTAATGGGGGAAGAATCAACTCCGGCATCATAAGGGCACGGCACCATCTTCTGGAGGTTGAAGACGTGTGAGCTAGACCTAAGACTCCACCTGTGGGTTGGGCCAAAGAGAGGCAGTCCGAGCAGAGGAAGGTAGCAAGTGGGCTAAGGCTGAAAAAGAAGAAAGGGATGGGCTTTCGGCCCAAAACTAAGAAAGGAGTATAATGTATACTGATTAAAAACATCTTACCCGTTGCAATGCACGGACATTTTTTCTAGTAAAAGTTAATTCTTAGAAATTCAAATGCTTTACCTTTCCTCCAAACAGAATAAGCCCTTAATGGATTGAGAGATGCACACAATTACATAGGCACTAGTGTTGGATGGAACACTAAGAAAATTTTGGTTGGCCCAATCAAATCAGTTTAATTGGTTCATCAGTTTGACATTTTTACTCTAGTGAAACCTATGGGTATCTATTATACCCATACCCAATTTTGTATGAGGGGGGTAATATTACAATTTTTTTACCCATTTTAACGATATCTGTTAGATTTAAGTAAAATTTCATTCCAAGTATTTTAAATCAGTGTTCACAAAATACAAACCTGTTAAATTTTGCTGAACTTTACTGGGATATTTGTATGTACTGGGTATGGGTAGAATAGATACCCAAAGGTTTGATCTGTAGTGGGCATCAAACCATTGACTGTAAAATTCAATTTGTTTGCCCACATGAGATTGCTTAAAGGGTTATTTACAAACGGCAGATATATTTAGGATGTTGGCAATGTATAATCAGGATTCAGCATTGCAATATATAACACAGATGTTGGCAGTGCCTAATCAGGATTCAGTATTAACAAATAATGTCTTTTACGGTGTTTGGAGGTACCACCGTTCCAGGTATCTCCTAAACCAATTAATATCAACTGTTGATTTCTAAAGGATAATATATGTAGGAATAAGAAATAGTGTGTTAACAAGGATAGATTAGTAATTCGTCAATCCTCCCCATACCCATCCACTGGCTAGTGGCATCCTATGCCGATGTGATTGTGTTAAGGCCACTTTCTCTGTGTCTAACCTAAGTGAAAGGACGAGCAAGCCAGGAGCGGGGGCTGCTGATCGCGGGTGCATAGGGCTTGCAGCGGCTGATCTGATTGTTGTTGAATGTTGCGTGATGCTGCTGATGGTTACAGAACGCTGAAACATAGAGTCATTGTTGTGAAGCTGTTAAATGGAATTGAAAAGTTTTGAGTAATTGATTTCTTGCGGAATTGATGCGCTAAATTGCTAGGAGGATTTTTACCGTCAAACAGTACCCGACAATACCAAATCGTGGTCATTGGATCGGGCTAGACAATACCTAATGCGCTAAGTTTTTTTTTCTTGTACGGTTCTTTCTTACTATTACAACAACTTTTACTTACAAAATTTGCACATTTTAACTGCTGGTTATTTTTTTAAAAAAATCCTCTTACCTCATACTAGCTACTAGGAGATAAAATTATATATTTTTTAGATAATGGAAATGGATTACATCTCCAGCTTCTGTCATAAGACACACAACCATAAGTTTAATAGTAATAAAAAGGTAAGATAAAAGTAAATCAAAATAAGAAATAAGGTGATGGGGACAAATCCCCAACTCCCCTTTATTATTGACTAGCGTTAAACCACATAAATTTTTTTTAGCTAGCAATTCTAATGGAACTACGCCACCCATAGTGGAATAAGAGACCCTTGGCTACCGATTCCAAGAGTGTAGCACCATTGCGCATAGTATCCTGCTCCTCTTGTGGTAGCATCGTAGACCAAAAGTGGAGCCAGTAGAAAGACATGAAGATAAACTGCATAGGATTAGATAATTGTTTACTATTAAAAACTTTATCATTATGAGAACGCCAAATTGACCAACATACAACACTAGCTCCAATTAGAATCATCTTCTTAATGGATCTAGATACCCCTCTAAGCCAATTACTGAAAATGTTTTTGGCGTTACGGGGTGGGGGATATTAAAAGCAAAAAACACATATCTCTAAACAAACTGAGCGACATGACACTCAAAGAAAAAATGTTGGATTGTCTCTTGTGCATAGCAGAAAGAACAATGTTTGTCTCCCCCCCCAATTTCTTTTAGCCAGGTTATCTTTCGTTAGAATTACTTTCTTGTGAAGAAATCAAATAAAGATCTTGATCTTTAGTGGAATTTTCAAGTCCCACATAATTCTCTTTTTGATCCGAACATTACAATTCATGATCGCGGTATACACAGATTTGACGGAAAATTGACCATTCTTATGGAGCGATCATACAAAGCAGTCATTTTCATTTAACAGAGTTATATTAGCTAGCCGGAGGATCAAATCGTTCCACCCGATTAGCTTTTGGCCAACAAATAGCTCTCCTAAAAGAGATATTTAGCGGCGTTGTGCTCATAACCTCTGCCACAGTAGACTGCTTCTTTCGAGCCACATTATATAATATAGGGTATTGATCTTTGAAAGCACGCGATCCCAACCACGTGTCTTCCCAAAATCTTATGTGTGTCCCATTGCCACATCTAAAAGAACCAAAACTAAGAAATCGGTCTTTGACTTTCATTAAACCGGCTCAGAACTGAGAAATACCAATCTTGCTGGACATACCAGAAAGAAGTTTACCCTTTAAGTATTTATTCCGCAAAAGGTTTTGCCATAGGCCTTCACCATTAAACAACTGGAAAAGCCATTTGCTTAATAAGCAGCTATTTTTTATATCAAGGTTATGGACACCTAGTCCACCTTGATCTTTTGGTCGGCATATGTTTTCCCACTTAGCTAGTCTGTATTTTCTTTTCCAGTCATCGTTATTCCAAAAAAAAAACGTGACCTAAAGTAATTCAATCTTTGAAGCACACCTCGTGGAATTTCAAAGAAGGATAACATAAACAAGGGAAGGCTCGAAAGAACTGAGTTTAGAAGGGCCAATCTCCCACCGTATGGCATGTTTTTGCCTTTCCATGTGCTGAGTTTCCTCTCAAATCTATCTTCAACTCATTTCCAATCAACATTTCGGGGTCTCCGATAATGAATAGGAATACCAATATATCTAAAGGGGAAAGATCCAGAATTACAACCAAATAGTTGTCTATATTGATCCTCCACTTCCTTGGCTTTCCCAAAGCAAAAAATCTCACTTTTATGAAAGTTTATTTTCAGCCCTGATATATATCAGTTGTTACCACTTGAATTTTTTAATACAATAAGCAAAAGAGCAATGTTTCCTTTATCAATATCAGTATCAAAGAGATTTTATTAATACAATAAAATCTTGGTAATAAATTTCCAATTTCAAATGAACATTAGTACAACCAGAGTGTTTTCTCATCTTTTACTTCTGTTCTGTAGCACATATAACCTATTTTTTTCACTTTCATCAATCATATTGAATTTGTGTAATAAATATCATAGAATTTTCACCAAACTTATTAACTTTGACTTAAAAAAATGTTGAAAATTGTTTACATGTGGACCCAATATTAATTATTGGATTTAGTCGGAGGGCCTAGCTTATGCAAGATGGCAACCCGTAGGGCCTAGTGGGAGAGTGGTTCTATTCTTCTTTCTTACACTCTCTCCCTCAATCCCAAAGATGTGGCTAGAGCAGGGTCTGGTGTCGATTGTTAGCATTAGGTTTTGGACGTCCTCGGCTATAGTTCCTTGGTTGGCCTAGCGGCGGCCGGTTCGGTGTTAGTTACAAGAAATCTTAGGTGACATTTCATTTACGTCACAAAAGCATGAATTTATGTCATATTTCGAAATTTGTGACATTCGCATGACGAAAGTTTGTTCGTCACCTATCATGCATCTCTAATCATGTTTTGTGACAAAAACTTATTTTTTTTTATCATTAATCTAGTGATGATCCTTCGTTCGTCGTTATCTTTATGACGTTTATTTTCGTCACTATCTAGTTCAAAAAAAAGGTCACAAAATATCTCATGGCCCATCAAGATCCATGTAGTGAGCAGAGTATTGTGGGCTGAAAATTGTTTGCTTGCAAGCCCAATAAGATTTAGGCCTAGTCCATCAAACAATTTTCAGCCCAATTGCATTATATCCATTTACAGTATTTTCAGCCCAATAAGATTATGTGTTGGTGCTGTGTTATCCCTAAAAAAAACCATGGTGAAAATTGTTTACATATGTACCCTAATACTTTTTTACTCTCTCCAATATTTCAACACTATTTGGTACACTAATTACCGGAGGGAGTGGTTTTGCATTCTTGGTAGGTATAACACGTGCATGTTATATTAGGTGTAGTTCCACATCGGTAATTGATGATGGGGGTGTACGACTTTAAAGGGTGGAGACGGTCCTCACGATGAACACGGCCGGAGCTAGCTTTGGAGGTTGTTCACTTAGCTCCCAGGGTCTTCTACTGCGCCATCACTCGGGATCCCTCCCAAGTCACATTCAAGCAATTTGATTGTCCATCTATTTGCTCATCACCCAACCACAGCAGTACAAATATTTATGCAGGTAGGCCACCTTCTTATACCTATAGCAAACAAAAGAAGCACAAACTTGAGGTAACAGAAGATAATCTACTAGCAAACTGAATTCTGAGTATCCACAATGGGTAAAAAATAGCCACACAAACCTGTGATACTATCATCACAGATTAGACCAGTCCTTTGTTGCACTAGTAATTACTAAAATCAGATGAAGTACTGTAAATTATAAGCCAATTTCACTCCTTTCATTTTGGTTGAGTAGAGAAACATAGCTAAAACCAGTGATGACCAAAGCAAACATACTTCACTGAAAACAAGCTTAAACAGGGGAAAACGGCCAACAGAACAATCACATTCTAGCACTTGCGATTGTCCATCTATTTGCTCATCACCAACCACAGCAGTACTAACTAATATGCACACATCTAGTCACACTCAAACTGATGAACGATGACAATTAAAATGACTAGAAAATTTTTAGCGTGGGACTTGTTCAGCAGCAAAATTCATGAAAACAGAGTCATTTTAGTAGACTAGTAGAGTGCCCGTGCGATGCAACGGGGAAAAAATAAGTGTAAATTGAAAAGTACACTGGGTAAAATGATTATTAAGCATAAACTTGTTATAACAAAAAAATATCCATTTTCAAAGCATGGCACAAGATCACAAGTGTTTAAATCTTTGTCTCTAGGGCGGGTAGAGCCTTTGATGGTTGATTGGCAGCAATGATCATCTCATCATGGCATTGTTCTGATTCCTGAGCCTGTTGCCTTCACGGTACAGGTAATGCTGAAACTTCTTCTGAAAATAATAACTACTGATTTTCTGAAGCAAGAAAATACCAAAGGATTGTTATGCATCAAAATGGCAGGGAACTTATATAGTATCTGAGATTGTTAGGCATTCTTTATCCAGCCTACGGTTTGTGAACTTAGACTAAATGAAATATTGTGTATGCGGGCTGGAAGCAACACACCATAAAAATCCCCAAAATGAACTTGTTAAATCAAATACTTCTAGAAAACCAACATTAGATAATTTTGCATCTAATAGGACATTATAGAAAATTGAGATGGCATGTGATCAAGATCAAGAGACTTTCTAAACTCCCTCGCCAGAGAGAGAGAGAGAGAGAGAGAGAGAGAGAGAGAGAGAGAGAGAGAGAGAGAGAGCTTCTAAGCTCAATGAAAAGGAATTATCTGTAACCATAAATATTTATGTGATACAAAAGGGAACAATTATTCAGATGCCTTTGCAGTAGTTGCATTGAATTTTTACTATACCCAATTTGCAGTTTGTCCAATACCATTCTTATACTTTTCTAGTACTGCTGAAATGTACAGTATTAGATGCACAGGACAAAATGGCCTAAAAGGAAACACGAGTTGAATGGAAATTATCAGAGCACCTAACACATATGCGGTCCAGTTAGCAGCAGGAGATTTGATAGAAGCACAGAAATACACCTTTCAAAAAGGATTAGATTATTACTCATATATATATATATATATATATATATATATATATATATACGTGAAGTGCCTCCTAGTTCTTACAACTTTTGGATAGTTCACTGATAAATGGCGTATAGGAACTTGGTTGTGGCTTGCAGATTTCAGTAGCTAGATACGCAGCAAAAATCTCATATAATGCTAGAAACTTCTTTACATCTGCCAAGTCAGATTCACCTGTAACTGTTGTTATATTAGCAATTATTAGTTAGCTCAGTAGAACTGTAGATCGAAATGTGAGTTACTCAAAAGAAGTCCAGCTCAGTCATCGTCAAAATAAAATGCATTGTGGTAGTACTTATTACCTGTTGAATAAGGTCATGCAAAGGTCCATGAAGTAGCGAAGCATCAAAATGCTGTCAAATGCCTACAGAAACACAAAGGCAGGATTCAAAAAGTTCGGCACAGAATTGTGATGCTAAATATGAGACATAGAATGTGACCACCGAGTATCAAATAGTACGCCCGATGGTCAACACCTAAAATTTATCACCAGAAACCTCTTAATAATCAATACAACTCAAACCAAAACATCAGTTTCCCTTTTCAGAACTTCACATATGGATGAAACTACCGAAATGAAAAAAAAAAGAGCACAATTTCACAACCTGTCTGGTCCGCATCAAAGAAGCACACGCTGAGCAGCTTCGCTCCCTCGCCTGCCTCAGTATAGACTACATTAAAACAGAGCAATAAATCAATAAAGCTTTGCGTTGCACAGGACCCTGAATTACAGAACAAGGTAGCAATATTTTCCAATATCAAAATCCTTCCTGGAGGTATGGACTGCTAGTTTCAGCAAGGTTTGGTAATACAATGATGAAGAAGTGTTACAAGGTGTGGTCCTTTTTCAAAATTTTCAGTGCTACTAAATTCAATTTCAAAAGTAAAACATGATTAGTGTTCCAAAAAAGTATTTGCCATGTAACATCATTAAAAGGCAATAAAACAAAGTTTTCAGTAAATCTCTCACCGAATTATCATCATGTAAAATGGAAAAGGAAAAACAGTTTGAATTGCTCAAGTGTGAAGCACAATTTCAGGGATCAGATCTCGGTCAAGTGTTATTAACGTTTTTTTGACAAATTTATCCTTCTCAAAAACTTATTTACCATGGAAAGCAACATTTTTCAACTTGGAAATTCACAAAGCAGGAAAACATAGGACAATTATGTAATGGCACAACTGTTCAACCCTATCAATATAATATAAATTAACTGAAGCCTCAGTGGTTAACTGGCTAGTTCGAACTTGCATGCAGGAAGGTGAAGTTAAGCCACCGACTCCTGTACTGCATGCTTTTTAGAATATCACCAAATCAAAACTAATTTCAACAAAAAGGAAAAAACCTTCTTACTAATGAATTCACCATAATCACCATATATGATGCCTTGCATTTCATGGTTGCAGGTTTAGGCTTCAAAAAACATTGCAGGCTTAGAAATCTCGGAAAAAAAATGTAAGTCTACTGGGCCAATGAAGTATTTTGAGATTTTAGCACACACTTGTGCCATGAAGTTTACAAATTGAAGTTCAAAATGGAAAATTGTTAACAAACCAAAGACTGAGTGTAGTCTGAAGACTCTGAAAAGGGTATGTTTGAAACCTAAAACCTTTTACACAAGTATGACTGTCAAAAGTTATATCTAAATACATGTTTTGGTTCATTAACTGGAATTGTGTTCTCCATATGATCGACCAGCAATAGTCTGCATGACTGTTCAAACTGAGATTGCGACAAAGCTGGGTTGACAATTATTTGGCGGGGGAAATAAACATTAGTATAGGAACAATATATGATATATGGGCCCATTGCCACAAAATTAGGGGGAGATAAGTAACGACTTTGCAAAAATCTCTCTGCCCCCATGCAAAATCTGGAATCGAAATGATCATTACCCTTAATCCCAAGTGGAGAAGGTCTGATCCCCTGAGGCCCTGACCTTTCAGAAAACGAGGGACAATAAAAGAGCGCTAATTGTGAAGCCATCTATAGCAACAACAGTAAGGACATCCTTGCCTCGTGGTGGGCACAAGTGCCCAACACCAACCTTCATTTTCCAAGTTGGCTTTACTGCATGTAGCAAATATGTGGTGAAATTCAGAACAAATTTGTGGCTTAATCTGAATGAGAGAGTGTGGCGCAAACAGACGAATAAGACCTTGAATTAGTTCCCGAGAAATAGTTAGAAATTTGGGAGAGATGTGATTACTAACGCGACAAATACCCTCCATTGTTGCCGCTAAGATTCCTGGCATTCCGATAGACCAGTTCAGAGGAATAAGCCTGAAACCAGCAGTACCCAGGTCTGTCAGTTCATCTGAGAAATGCACATTTGTATCAGCTTTCAGCTATCACCTTAGTCAAAATGCAAAGCTTATTCTAATTGATGCGCATGTGACAAACCATAACACTCAATCAGGGCCTTGCAAGTTGCAAAAGTTTTACTCCTATCGCTGTAAGGCCCTACTCCAGCATACCGAGGCAGAGGCTAATTTTCCTTTTTCTCCATCTGGACGACGTGCACAGACGTGAGAGAACGTGTGGAGGGGTGGGTCCCACACGGAGTTATCACGTACTCCAAAGGATTGCAGAATTGCAAGATATAACTGGTACTTTTTATATTAGAATAGATACAATTGAAAAAAAATCTGATCCCAAATTTTTTTTTCTTGCTATGAATTTTATTCCAAAATCATTTCAATCATGAATTCTTTCAAGCTCAATTTTCATTTATGCAAATCAATTATGCTTTCATTGGTTATCACTTACCATTCTGAGTGGCTAAGTAGGGGTGAAATCTAAATTTGCTCTCTTGTAACTACATGAATCAATGTGCTTCAGCTAAATGTAGTAGCTGTAAAACCTAGCCTGCCATGGCTACAGATATAATTCTAGCATGATGAAGCCAAAATTAACGATAGGTAATGAATTAACTTAATAAGTATAGTATGAACTGAGGTCAACACTCCGAAACTCCAATTCAACAAAGCCAAAGCAGAACCCATCAGGTTGCAGATGATTAGATCAACTAAACATACAAGTTTTAACTAACCTGATGGTTTCTAACTTGAATGCCACCAGGCCTAATAACCCCAGATTTCCAGAACTCCGTCAACTTCTTTCACAGTACAATCATAAGGCAAGTGATCTCACAAAAACAGAATACCCATGCTCTACAAAACAAAGTTTTGTTATCGTTAAACTTAGTATATATAAAAAATGCATGAGTAGATTTCACAGGTGAGCCATTCTAAAAATTCTGAAAACTTGACATCCCAAAATACTTTTCAGAAAATGGCAAAGAAAATACATACAATACTTTTTAGAACAGAATTGTAAAACTTTGTCCCCTTCGATCTGATCATACAGAAAATTCATTCCATATAGTACTTTCCAGACCAGGAATATAAAAGATTTTCCCCTTCAGTTTCAGGTTAAACCAAGGCACCAAGATCAGGTTAAATACCATTAACTAATTTTGTTTATAATTGTGATTGTGATTTGTGTGCTCAAAAATGACCTTAAAACATATTAGTTTTTTCTGTTATAATCACCAATGCAAAAAAAAAAAAGAAACAACTTAACATTTTATAGACAAAATTACCACATTTCTGAACAAATAAAGATCTAACATGGAGCAAAGTTTCTAGCAACAACAGAAATTGGTTTCTCGTCTAGCAGCAACAACAAAGTTAGTTAAGGTATGCTCAGGTCAGCAGCATGTACAGGCAAATTAGTACAGAAAAGAATTCACATTAACCTCAATGAGCAGCAATCATAAAACTTGCCTCAATGAGCAGGAATAAAAAAAACTTCCCAGTTTGCAAAAATGAGGCCAAAGAATTCACTTGAATATTTTATTAAAAAAATGTTTTTCAATGCCAGCATTTTGGTAAAGTGATATACATACTTAACAACTAAAGTAGTCAGACCAACATGTATGGTTATATATTGAGTGGTTCGAGCGGTTAAAAGAATATACTTGGTTAAGGACCCCATTAGTTACCTATTATTTATTATAAACCATAATGGTTTATTAGTAATTAAAAACAATTTCTAGATAAAACTTTTACATATATGTTCTAAACGACTTAAAAATTACTATAAGAGACACCAGGTTGTAAACTTGCTATAGCTAAATTTTGTTCTATCCTATAACAATTAAGAATGTTTAAAAAAATCATGTACATGAGGACTGCTCCTTCGTTAACACAACAGAAAAAACAAAATTTTGGACCTTTCTGGCTTAGTGCGGAGTGTGTTGTAGATTCAGCTACAGAAACCACATAGCTTATCAAATACTCCAACAACTGCCTAAAATGGTTGCTACAGTGGGTACAAAATTTTCTAAATTGTTAAGCTTCTCTGAGCGTGTGTATACTTTTCTGACCACCACAATTCTCAAAAGCTACAATAAATCCTGTTTCGAACTGTTTCTACCAGTAATCACCGCAAGAACATGTCCCATCTCTGAAATGATGGAATCGGTTGATGTCTCTGATGATAATTTCCCTCGAAACAATCTTTGAAATGAACTTAAATGCCACATGGCAATCTCTGCATATGCGCAGATTTTTCTTGACTCTAATGGGTGCTCCAGGTGGAGTGCTGAGCAAAGCGAACGCAACAGCTAGCCTTTCACTATGATGAGAAAGAAGCAACTCCTTTTCACTCCTGTCTAAATCATGGAGATCAACATCTACATTTGGAACAAAACCAGCTTTGCTCATTAGATCTCCCAATTCAACTAGCTTTGCATATATCTCTTTTGTCATTGGGTGGCTCTTGTCACCAACAATGAAAGTATGCACCTTGTCCTTAACCTCAATCCAGCTCATGGCAGGTTCCTTCTTGATGTTACTGTCTTTCATTAGCTTTCGCACCTTAGCCACCTCATTCCACATGCCTGCAGATGCATAAGTGTTTGCAAGCAGAACATGTGTACCAGATTTCTCGGGCTCTAGGATGAAGAGCTTTTCAGCTGCCAGCTTTCCCAGTTCTGGGTCTTTGTGTACTCTTGAGGCTCCTAGTAGCGCCCCCCAAATTGAGGCATTTGCTTGGAATGGCATGCTGTTAACAAGCTCCATTGCATCGTCTAGTTTACCAGCACGGCCAAGCAAATCAATCATACATGAGTAATGTTCCTCCGTCCTGTCAATGCCAAACATCTCCTTCATTGAATTGAAGTACCGCTTGGCCTCATCAACAAGTCCTGCATGGTTGCAAGCACAGAGAACACTAGTCATGGTGATGTGGTTTGGATTAATGCCTTCATCAACCATCCTGCCAAACAATTCCAATGCTCTCTTCCCATGCCCATGCTGTGCTAGCCCTCCGATCATTGCAGACCATGAGACAACTCCCCTCTCTGGCAGGCTGGAGAAAGCCAACTCTGCATCCTCTATGCTACCACACTTAGCATAAGTGTACACAAGAGCATTCCCTGCAAACGCATCTGACATGAACTGTCGCTTGATCAGATGAGCATGGACTTGCTTCCCTTGCTCATAAGCTGATAAGCTAGCACAAGCATTCAGTAAGCTACTTAGCACGAAAGGATCTGGCTCAAGCCCCTTCCTTAGCATTTCCATGAACAGCTTTATTGCACCCTCACCATGGTCACACTGTGAGAGTGCTGTGATCATGGATGTACAAGCTATAATGTCACCAGAAGAACATTCTTCAAACACTCTGTTTGCATCACTGAGACAACTGCACTTCCAATAGGAATCAATAAGCCCATTGACAACATGAGCGTCAAATATGAAACCTATCTTCACTGCAAGAGCATGAACCTGTCTTGTGGTGCTGGCTGCCTCCAAGCTTGCTGTGGACTTGAGAACAGCAGCCAATGTTGTCCTATTAACGCCGAGACCCTCCTTTCTCAACTCGTAAAAGAGGGACAAAGCCTCATCATGTCGCCCTCCATGAGAACAACCTGATATCAGTGCATTACACAGAATCAAATCCCTATGGAACATCCAATCAAACACCTTCCTTGCATCGTCCAAAAAATGGTTCTTTGCATACATATCCACAAGACCAACACCTATATAATCATCTGAATCTGCATTGGCTTTGATCATGAACCCGTGGATTTGCCGACCCAAATCAAATGCCCCAGCACCAGAACAAGCCTTCAGGATGCTAGACAACGTAAACACATTGGGAACCAGTCCTGAATATTTCATCTGCAGTAACAACTCTATCGCACGGTGATCATGACCATTAAGTACACACCCAGAAATTAAAGCATTCCAGGAGACCACATCCGAATCAGGCATTTTCTCAAAAATAACAGAAGCAATATCAACACGCCCCATTTTCATGTACATGTCAACCAATGCATTGGCCGTGAACACATCCTTGTCATAGCCCATCCGTACCACCATAGCATGCACTTGTCTTCCAGCCTCTATATTCCTGGAACCCGTGCAGGCGTTCACCACGCAAGAGAACCCAAATTCAGTAGGCTGAATCCCACTCCACACCATCTCACCAAACACCTGGATGGCATCACCGCACTGGTCATTCTTGACATACGCTGACATCAGGCCATTCCAAGAGACGGCGTTCCTCTCGCTGTCAGCCTCATTGAACACCCTCCTCGCATCATCCATGAAGCCAAATCCACCGTACATGGCCACAAGCGCGTTCGCCACGAAGACGTCACTGCCAAACCCCGTAGCCATCGCCATGGCGTGCACCTGCGCACCGAGGCGGGCGTCCGGCACGCACTTGAGCACAACAGGGAGAGCGAACTCATTGCAGCATACACCCTCCGCGCGCATGCCGTGGAATGCCTGGATCGCACTCCGGGGCAGGCCGTTGTTGGAGTAGGCGGTGACGAGGGATGACCAGGAGACGTGGCACGGGTCAGGGATTTCGTCGAACACCCTGCGGGCGCAGCAGGGGCGGCGGCACTTGGAGTAGAAGGAGATGAGGTGGTTGCGGAACGAGGCGAGGGAGCCGGACTTGAGGAGGCTGGCGTGGAGGTGCGCCCCCGGGAGCAGCGCCTGCGCCGCGGCGTAGCGGGTGAGCTGCTGGCTAATGGTGCCGGCGCTTCTCATCGGAAAGGCGTAGTTACGGGCACGAGCGGCGCCGCCGGAGAGAATGCTCTAGGGTGGAGGAGGGCCTTTGCTTCCCTTCACGCGGCTCTAGAGATGGCAACGGGGGCGAGGCCCCGGCGATGGCTGCACGGCGAATGGGACTTGGAGACGGTGGCCGCCGCGGGATTGATGGCCGCGGCGCCGAGAGAGGAGATCGTCGAGGCAATGGTGGGGTGATGGGGAGGAGGTGGACATGGAGGCGGTGGGTGGGGAGGAGCAGGACGCGGCGGCGGTGGCCGATGGCGCGGGGGAGTGGCGTCCCAGGAGGGGACGCGGATCGTCTGACCTTCAGGCCATATCCACCGTCCGACAGTCCGACTCATCCGACGGAGGACGTCTCTCCCGCGCGCTGCTTCCTGCCATCTGATTGCTGATTCCATGGGACATTAATTAGGTGTTCACTTGACTGTCATTTTCAACCATACTATTTTTTAAAAATAATTATAAAAAAATATCTATGTTTAATTTGCTGCTAAATTTGATTAATACTTCCTTCATTCCATAATATAAGACACAACTACTTTTTAAGGTTGTTTCATAATATAAGGCGTGCATGCATGCATACATATTTTTCGCTCAAATATTATTATTTAAAGGCTCCATCATCAAGATATCTAATTTTATTGGGTGCATGCATTTTATTTATTAGGGTAATCTAAACTATGAGATAAAAATAATTATTTTTTGTCTTTAGGTTAAGGGTGGTTTTGTTTTATATTTTAGAATGGAGGGAGTACAAAAGAAATCCTGTAATTATAAAATTTTACACTGGTTGATATGTTCGCATATAGCAATGTACTTTTTTTCGTTTTACACAGTTACTTGCTTAAATTTATATTGTTACATACTCTCTTGTAATAAAATATAGAAAGAGTATTAGGTTAACTACTCCCTCCGTCCCAAATTACCGGACGCTTTTTTTTTGAAAGAAATATCAAAATAAGTAACTTTTAACTAATAATTATACTAACCATATATATATATGCTAATATTAGGCATGTTATATCACTAGATTTATATTTTAAAGTACTTTTATTTTATACTAATTTTATATTTGTTGGGAACATAACATGGAATAAATTAATAGTCAAAGTATGTTATTAAAGACAGTGTAAAAAAATATAGACTTTATAATTTGGGATATTTGGGATAGAAGTAGTATATTTTAGTATGGAACAAATAGTGCTCCTCGTATTTAATTTGTCAGTGTAAATTTTGTGGATGATGCTAATTTGAAATAGGTGTTTAAGTAATTTCAAGGTCCTATGTCTTTTTGTTTGGATATCATCTAGTATTTCATATAATAACAAGTTGTAACCTTCATTTTTTTAATCACCAAAATAAAAATAACTTAACTCAGAGTTCCAGGTCATTTTCGGTTACCGAACTAATCTCATGTAAGACTATTTGATTAGATTCATTACTCCTCAATTAGAATCAGCGAGCAAACAATTATGAGGCCAGGAACCACAAGCAGGAAATATCCTCCGTCAGATTGGACGGACGGTGGATATTACATTAAGGTTTTATTTGGCAAATGGGATTGGGAAATAATATCCTACCCTTGCAATATTGCATCCAGCCATTCATTCTTCACACCTCATTTAATACTAGTCATTCATCTATTTCCCTTTCCCAATCCCACCTCACATATCCCATTTGCTAAACACACCCTAAAGTCACAGCGTGACTTTACTCGGTAAAGTCAGACGATCTGTGTCTGTGTGGCAGGAAGGGGGATCGAGAGTGGTATTAGCGAGTAGCGCAGGCTGATTCTTCGCGCGGTGACGGGAGCGCGGCGAAAATCACGGTGGAGATAGGAAGGAGTTGTTGTGGGGGGGGGGGGGTAGGGTGAAATCATGGTAGACGGCAGGGATTATAGCGATGCGGATGTGGATGCCGATGGATATTAGGGATTTAACTTGTTGATTTGACCTGTAGGATTGAAAGGGGTGAACTCCTTTTTATATTAGTATAGAAGTGCAGTCATCGTCAACCGTGAGGAGATGTGGAGCCGTCTCACAGTCTCGCTCACTCACTCACCTCCCCACGAGGGTGTTGAGGAGGAGGCGGGAGAAGGCAGACTTGCCGCTGTTGCCGGGGCCACGCACTGCCACCACCGACGGTGGCCAGGTGCAGGAGTCATACACCACCGCCTCCGCTGCCTCCTCCCACTCCCGCGTGCAGTCCCTCTTCCTAGCCTCCTCCTCCTCCTCCGCCGCCATTTCCCACTCATCCGAGCCCTCGCCGTTGCCATAATCCGTCATCTCTCTCGTTGTCTCGCCAAGCGGCGGTAGTTCGGCGTCAGTCAGGCATGCACGCGAAACAGCAATGAAGAGCTAGAGAAGAGGCGACCTAGTACTAGTAGGAGTAGCTCTTATATATAGAAGGCGAAGAAAGGGGGGAATTCAATTCACGCTGGTTGTGAGTTGCGAGTGGGGTGGTGGGGGTGTATCTCGCCATGGGTACGGTCGGCCATGGCAGCGGCAGAGGTATACGATGATGGGTGGGGCCGATCTGTCAGCGCTGGGGTGTGTGCCACGTGGTGATGGCAGGTGCAGAAGCGGAGTCAATCAAGCACCCCTGATTCGGGATCGCTGGAGGTTGGTTAGTGGGTCCCAAAATTAATGTTTGTGGGAGTTTTTTTAATGAAATTGCCGGTCTTTTCTCCCGTTCTCCACCAATCTTAGGGGTGCCTACGGGGCCAGGTTTGAGCAAGAACCCCGCCCACACCCCCACCCCCGACCCACCCATATATTTTCTCATTGATCCCCAGCCCTAAGGAAGGAAGTGAGGGCAAAACAAAATCTTCGATCGGGCCCCACACGCGCACATCACAGCAACAATTAGCTGTGAGGAGAAATTGGACAGTCTGCCACTCCTAAAATAGGATTTTTCTCAAATACCATACCACGGATTGAATTTGTTAAAATGCCACTACCAATCGTTGCCAACACGCTGGTTTGCCCTTTTTTCATTTTCGCTGGATGAAACCAAGATTTGGCGTGTGTTCTAACCAAAATGCCCCTGTCTACTTCTTCTGGGGTGTTGTTGAGAGCAAGAGCGGGACGAGAGGCAACGACTACATCTCGCCTGCCGCATCTGCTTCTTCGCCCACACGATGAAGGAGCTCTGCCCACTGTACGTGTCCACGGGCTCGGCTATGCCGTCTCCCAATGAGGCATTGGAGATGGTGTAGCGATAGCAATAGGGATGGTGTTGTCGTCACCAAGGCGTCGTTCACGCCGTTGGCAGTGGGGGTGGGGCGGAGGGACTGGGATGCGCGGCGGCGCATGGCCGCAACAGCCGAGCGTGCCGGCGCTCTGCTTGCCCAGGAACCTGTGGCTTCGCATGTCGTTGAGTGCTCGAGAATGGCTGTAGACGAGCTGCTCATCGCGGCGGCGGCGACAGTGGATCCATAAAACATTCTCGAACTGCGGTGGTGGAACTTGCACCAGTGGTGGAGGCCTAGGGGACGAGAGCTTCGCGGAAGGCACCGATACCTTCATCGGCGGCAGATGATTTGGGGCGGAGGAGAGCTTCACGGCGGACAGCGGCGGTGGGGTGGCCAAGTGCGGGGCCGCGCTGGTCGCGGCGGCAAATCCTCGGCCACGCGAGGAGATCCACGCCGCCAGCCGCTCCTTCGGTTTCTCCATCGCGGCGAGTCGGAATGGCTCCAGCAAGTGCAAAAAATGGTGAAAATCCTGTGAAATGGCAAATATGGCAAATCAGTGGTTTGGCATCAATTGAAAGTGGTTTTTTAACGAATCTAATCCACGGAGTGGCATTTGAGTGAAACCCTATTTTGGTAGTGGCAGAATGTCCAATTTCTCGGCTGTGAGCAGGCAGGCATCGAGCTGTTGACGACTACAATCTACAGGCAAAGCGATGGCATGAGAGAAGAGATGCAACAAGTGTTCGGCTGGTCACCGGAGAGGGATACTAGCGGTCGACCGGCGAGAAGAAAATGGTGTGGGGGCAGTGGGAGAGGGTGACGACGCATGGCTCAGGAGCGGCGGGAGAGCGCATGCATCACATGGGCGTGGAGGAGGTGGGAGAGCTCATGAAGCATGGGGGTTGCGGGGCGACGATGCACGGGCGTGTGGCACAGGTGCACTCGCGCGCGGAGCGAGTGATATGCTCTAGTTGATATCGTATGGGACAGTGGGAGGTTGTTGACGGCTATTAAGTACCAAATTCACACCGTCAATACCTGCGTAAAACTGAAAATTTGTGGGACATATATGTTGGTATTTGCTAGAGTAGATAAGCAAGCTCCCTCCATCTAAAAATGTTAGACTTATTTCATATTTGGGTTTTTCCATATAAGTTACTCATATCAGTAGTCTAATGCATGAAAGATATAAATAAAAAGATAAATTAAATGTTTCAATCATGAGTCTCGCTCCGGTCCTTTTTACTTGGAGTAGAAATTAATCTGAGCCGTTGATCGTATTTAATTGTAAGGTTGAGATCTAGTTCTACTCCTACCAAATTTTATGGGAGTAGAAATATGGAGAGGTATATTTGTCCAGAGATAATAATTCGTGTGGGGTATTATCATAATTTGCAATTACCTAACTGTTCACCCTCTCCACCCACGGCACGAAGAGAACCTTGCCGTCGTCGACGTCGGCGTGAACCAATGCCAGCGACTGTTTCAGACAAAGAAATGTTTCATCATAATCTGGTAAATCTAGTATATCCTTGTCAAACTTTTTTGTTTTCTGAACCATAGCCAACTCTCATGAATATGACTGGATTACAAGCCAATTCGATGATGTTTATTGCTACCGACTGATTGCTATTGCTTTTCAGCCACAGGAAAATATTCTCTTCAGAAGGAGGAGGATTTTGCATACAGGAATCAAAGCCACATAATATACCAATTGCAACAGAGGAAGAGGAGGATGAGAAATTTTGGTAGTGATGCGGTGATGCGGGCCTGCGTCGGGGGCTCGGGGCAGCGCCGCCGGCCACACCGCCGCCTGCCGGGAGGAGGAGCAGAAACCGCGGTGATGCGTCGGGGGCGAGATGCATTGCGTCGAGAGTACAGGGCAAACGGTCGAGATGATCATCCCATTTTAAAATTACCCCTAATCTGTATTAAGGCCCGGTTTCTTTCAGCTTGGGATTATTATAATCTAGATTATTGAGTCAGATTACCGTAAGCTATATTGTTATAATATGTAGTAGAATAAGCGATTAGTTGTTTCTATCCTAGATTATCAGAGCCTAAATTATTTGGTTTGCAAGTTTAAAGAGGGAGTGGGGTGGTATGGTAGATAATTTTTCATTCACTAATCTGGAAAAAGCTCACTTAAATGAGCTTATCAGATTATAATAAGCTGGACTCTAGATTATAATAAGCTACTTCAATAAGTTGTCTATTTCTTTCAGCTTACTCCTAATAATTTGGATTATAATAATCCCAAGCTGAAAGAAACAGGGCCTAAGAGATTACTAATATATCCTTTAAGATAAACGGTCGAGATTAATTCTACTTGTAGTAGAATACTGCAAGTATATTGTACCGGAGCACTACTCTGAAAAACCAAAGAACCATCGTAATTCTCATTAATTGTATGCATACATACATCTCTTCATATCTGCTACATGTACGGTGAGTTAATTTCTTTTTGTTTAAGTAACAATAATCCAGATCCTCTGCAATATTATAGAGGACTCTCACTCTAGTAACAAAAAGTAATAGGTCAAACATTTTTTAATGGAGGGACTATATACATTGGAACTTACTAAAGTGAAGGGCAAAGTAGTTAGGGGGTGTTTAGATCCATGGGTGCAAAGTTTTGACGTGTCACATCGGGTATTATATAGAGACACCATAGGGTGTTCGGGCACTAATAGAAAAACTAATTACAGAATCCGTCAGTAAATCGCAAGACAAATTTATTAAGCCTAATTAATCTATCATTAGCAAATGTTTACTATAGCATCACATTGTCAAAACATGAAGCGACTAGGCTTAAAAGATTCGTCTCGTAAATTAGTTGCAATCTATGCAATTAGTTATTTTTTAGCCTATATTTAATACTTCATATATGTGTTTAAACGTTTGATGTGACAGGGTAAAAAATTTTAGGGTGTGATCTAAATAGAGCCTTATTTGATCTTTATATTAGTACGTGTAAAATAGGTTCAAAATAGCGTCTTTCTGGTACGAAGGTTACAGTTTTTATTTGGTTCATACTAGCTCCATCTCTTCTTTTGTAGAGGAAAGGGATATTTTTCTTTTGAGATTAATTCTCTAGTCCAACCATATTTCAAATACTACCTCCATCCCATATTACTTGTTGCTTTGAGTTTTTTTTAATGTTTGTCCATTCGTCTTATTCAAAAAATTTGGAATTATTATCTATTTTGTTTGACTTTTTTATTATCAAAAATACTTTAAATATAACTTATCATTTTTTATATTTGCCCTAATTTTTCAAATAAAACGAATGATCAAACGTTATAAGTAAAAGTCAAAGCGACATGTAATACGGGACGGTGGCATTAAAGGTTTGCCTACTCCTGCTTTAAGATAGAGATAGACTGGACGTGTCCGAGTCCATTACTCCCTCCATTTCAAAATAAGTGCAACACAATCAAAGAAGGTTTCAAAATAAGTGCAGCACAATCAAATAAGGATCGTGCATCTTCTAGAATCTCTAGGAAGTATGTACGGTCTTCCTTCGTCTGAAACGTAAAACACATGATAGCGCAGAAATCCTCTAATTAAAATGTTGATATACTATAGAGAACTAGTAGTATCAATTGAGTTAGGTGTAGAGTATATCGGCGTACAACTATAGCTTAATCGAGCTAAATACATTAACCATAAATGTTCATAACTTAATTATAGGTACAGTATTATGCATCATCCATTGGAACTATCAGAAGTCATCCAGGGCCAGTTTGGCAGCTAATATATTACGAGGTTCAGGGTCAGTACACGCTACAGGTCCGATTTTTGCTGTATTTTGTTTATCCATGACAATTGAGCTCCCTTAGCCTGTCCGCTATATCACTTGCAGTATCAGATACCACCTGCAATCACATGTATCAGTTAGACAGTAAGAGGCAAAATACGAGGTGAGCAGCAAAACGGCAAGATTAAGTAACTAATTTATCAAATTGTACAAATATAGACACTAGTTCATTGCAGCTGGCCAGCATGTGTGCACTATGATCAATTTCAATCGACAATTGCGTCTTTACTGGCGGTATCATATGATTCATGAAACTAAATAAATAAATAACATTAATTTCAAATTTTCCGTACAACCCATCTAATGTGTACTGTACTATCTAGGTGATAATACCAGCATACTAGAATGTACTCTATGTAAGAGAAGAACTAATGCTGGGCACTTCGTGAATGATTCACAGTGAGTTCTTGCACCCAAAGCACCCAGATATATTTTTCACAAATTTTCTTGGGACCAATGAAGTGAAAATTATTTACATAATTGACCATGTAATATATTGCGCCACTGACACTGTTAAGCATCCAAATTTCACAATAAACCGTGGTAGAAAAAAATGAATGTATTGCACTATACGTTATGGTAGAATGAGCAAAGACAAGAATAAATGTATTTTTGCATTGAACCAACACTGTTTTTTTATAACAATCATACCAATACTGATGCATGTGGTTCTATATATCTCACATTTCAACCGCTGGAAAATTTAGCTAGAGCTTTGGTTTGCAGAAAGAACAAATCACATTAGTGGGCAGAATCTCAATTAACTATTACCTGGAGCAGACATGTAGGGACTGTAAAACTACTGCAGAAAAAGATATCGGCATTTTCCAAAAGCTGACGAGAAACAGGAGTGATCAAATGAATACAATCTCGTGAAACATCTATGGCTTTGATGAAACCTAAATTGCAAGTCAAGAAAAATGGCATGCAAAAAAAATAGTCAACATCTGACCAATTCATTTCAATACAGTTGAACTAAATGGAAGGCTATCAAAATCATAAATCAATATTTAAACTGAACATACCTAGTCCAATGCAACAAGGTGTGGAACACTGATTTGACAAAGCTACAGATGCACTTGTTGCAATGCCAACAATAGTACCTTTCAAGAAGTGATGCACTGTATAATCAGACACCTACAGAGAAGCAAAACTTAGACACTACATCAGTAATTTAATACAAAACCTCAAGAAAATTGCTGCCAGGAGCGATACTCCAAACAGCGTCGACTTTATCGCAGCATACTGGATTATTACAGTAAGCATGTCATAAGCAATTCTTATCTGAGCTATAAGTTGGCAACCAGTTGTAAACACGACATATTTCGTTTTGCTAAACTCCAGTCCTTGCATACAAAATTATTGTTCAATATGACAATTTGATGACTATATATGTGACTGACAGTGCTGCCTGCACAAATAGCGGAATCAAATACTCATATAAACTTAACTTTACAACTTTTAGAATGACATCCATTGACTACTTGACTAGGTAAACGGGGAATAACCTATAATATGCATTTTGTTTTCATTTTCCTGTGAAGCACTGAATGTGAAATTAGCTTTCTAAAAATCTATATATACAAAATGCCATTATTTTTGTTGCTGGCAAATACTAATTTGTAGTATTTCGAACATAGGAAATAAAGGATTAGTAAAAACATCACTACATCATATAATCTGAATAACGCATGATTCTTCTAAAAAAAATTTCTTGATTATAGTAGTGTTGAAAATGTAGATAGGTCCAAAGATTTCACCTGGCTGTGCAGATCAATAACCTGAAGTTTTGACAAAGGAAGCTGAAACGGTTCAATAGAAGCAAAGCCTTGAATTAAATCATTGTAAGAGAAAACAGGAAACTCCATGGGTAAGCACTGCCTGAAGTATGCAATTATCCTTAGATCACGAATGATCCTTGCCTCTTTCTTTATTAATAGACTGCACTCAAAAGCCTTATATCCATTAATACTTGAAAGAAATATAAACTTATTAATTTCATTGCAATAGACACTTACTGACGAGGAGAGTGTTGTGCAGCACGAATTTCAACTAAATTAATGGCCGGGTCTCCTTCAGGTTCATCTAACCAAAACATCCCAGCAGGTAAATTTTTTCCCTCTACTGATGTTCTTAGCCGAATAACATGAGTTGGAGATGCATATTTCAACATCTCAGTCAGCATATGCAGGCCAGTACCTAAATATAGTAGAAAATCAATACATTTGCAAAAATAAGCAATACATTCAAATTCAATAAAAGTGACCCAATCATTTAGCCAAATCAACCATTGTTATTAACAGTAATAACTAATAACTTGGATGGGATGAACAATAAAATGGAGAAATTAAACATCACCTTTCACCCATCCAGAAGTGTTAATAACAAGTGGTATTGCTGATTTGTTAGGGTTATCGGTGTCTTCAAAGCGATAGAGTTCTTTGAGGAAATAATCATAAAGGCTAAATATGTAGCTCAAGAGAAGTTTTGGATTCTTCTTTGCAGAGCAATCACCGAAAAAGAAGCACCTAAAATATGCGCAACATGAATGTCTTAGGCCACTCCAAGAAGATAATCAATTTCACTTTCTCAAACATGATTGGGAAGTGAATTGAGTACACAAAAATCAGAGATATATTAACTTGAACAAGTATGATGCTTAAGATGCCTATTTCATACTTAGCTTTATTATGATCATGTTCAGACTTATATTTATTACTATTGAAATTACAAGTGTATGAAAGTATTGACTACGTGGATACTTCAAACTGAACAGGCATCTCTTGCGTATTTGTGTATTTAGCTCCAAACTGGACTTTAGAAAGCTATATTAACTTAACTTTGATATTTTGAGAAACAGAAATGACTTATTATGGATTATTGGACAACAAATCAATGATTTGATGAAGAAATCAGGGAAGTATTTTAATAATTGAAATAAATTTATCGCATGCAGATATTGATATGCATTAAAGCAGTTAAGCAGAGGAATGCCAAAAGACCACACACATCATCGCACACTGAAAAACTGAAGATAATAACACTGCTGCTTACCTCTTTGGTGTCCGCAGGTACAACATTTTAAAATCTGCAATGATCACAAACCAACAAAATTTTTAGTCTTTTTGAGTAAATTTCGCAAAACTACAAGTATTTTGACCAAATTATCACAAAACTACAGATTTAAGGAGTTGTATCACAAAACTACATATTTAGCACCAAATTTATCACAAAACTACATATTTTAGATTAAGTATCATAAAAATGCATATTCAATATTGAACTTATCACAAAACTACAACTTTAGAGTTTAAATCCCTAGCACCATTGTTATGGTGGAGCTATAAACATCATTACTTTGTGATTAAATTGATTCTAAACCTGTAGTTTTGTGATAATTTAGTTACTAAATATGTAGTTTTGTGACACTTCATCTTAAATGTGTAGTTTTGTGATAAATTTGGTGTTAAATGTGTAGTTTTGTGATACATCGAGTTAAATCTGTAGTTTTGTGATAATTTGGTCATAGTATCTGTAGTTTTGTGAAATTTACTCTTTTTAGCCAGTTACACAGAAATGAGAAGAAAACTCAGGGAAGATTGAAAGGAACATATATGTGACACCTTCAGCCTGTTCCTCAAGTACATGAATCGATACAAACCCAGGAGGTGTGAACTCTGGTTGGCCAACATCAGTATCCAGGTAGGCCACCTTCTTATACCTATAGCAAAGAAAAAAAAATTCTGAATAATGTAATAGCAAACTGAATTCCGAATGAAGCAAAACGCCGCAATAAGTAAAAAGAGTCACAGAAAATTGTAGTGCTTGCACTACTAATTATTAACATCAGATTAAGTAAATTACAAGCCAACATTGTTAAAATTTCTCACTCCTTATATTTTAATTAAGTGAAAGAAGATAGTTAACACCAATGCTGACCAAAGCAAACATACATCAATCAAAACAAGCTTAAACAGGGGAAAACTGTCGACAGATTAGCCACATTGTAGTACTTGATTGTACTATCTATTTGCTCATCATCCAACCACAGTCCACAGACAGCAGTACTAACTAATATTCACACGTCTAGTCACACACACACACACACACACACACACACACACACACACACACACACACACACACTCAAACAGAAGAACGATCATCAATTCATTAGAAAGTTTTTAGTGGGGGACTTGTCCAGCAGAGTAAATTCAGGAAAACAGAGCCATTCTAGTAGAATCGCGGGCACTGTCAAGTCTCACTCACCTCCCCACGAGGGTGTTGAGGAGGAGGCGGGAGAAGGCGGACTTGCCGCTGTTCCCGGGGCCGCACACCGCCACCACCGGCGGCGGCCAGGTGCAGGAGTCGTACGCCACCGCCTCCGCCGCCTCCTCCCACTCCCTCTCCCTCTCCCTCTCCTCCGACCCCTCGCCGCCGCCGCGCCCCATCTCTCTCTAGCAGTTCGCTAAAACGCACGCGAAACAGCAGGTCCAAGAACTAGCGAGGCGAGGGCGCCGTGGCCTGAGCTGACCTCATATGGCGAAGCGCACACACGCTTGTTGCGTTCTCGCCGTGGGGAGCGACACGATGACGAGTGGGGCCGTCCTGTCAGTCCCCGGGGTTTTAGGTCTGTGTGCAGTGCAACGTGGTGCGGAATCAAAGCACCACGATTCGGGATCGTTGGTGGTTTGTTTGAGGGGCCCAAAATAAATATTCTTTTTTAAGATAACACTTAGTCATGCATTTACGACTCCACCACCACACCACCTATGTTTCCCTTGAAAGGACGATTGCTTATTTGGCCCCATTCTGAAGGCTAACTACCAATTTGACCCTTTTTTTTTTGAGTTTGCTTGTTTGATCCTACTTTACGAAAACAAACGATCCGTCTGACCCTGTTTTCATTACAACGTTAAGGTTTGAGTTAAAAAAAGAAAGAAATATAATTAAAAATCATAATGCCCAAACTACCCTCAAGGAAACCCTATCCATCCCTAACCCTATCCACACCCGTTTCTCTCGCTCTCTCCGTCTCGCGTGCCGGCGAGTTGCGGCGGCGGCGCTCGTCTCTCTCTTTCTTTGTCTCGCGTGCTGAGTGGCGGTGGCGCTCGTCTCTCTCTCTGTCTCGCGTGCCGAGCAGCGATGGCGCTCGTCTCTCTCTCTCTCTCTCTCTTTGTCTCGCTCGTGTCGGCAAGGAACCCGCGCGGAGGAGAGGCGGATCCGCACGCGGCACCAGCTTGTGGAGGTAGGGGACGGCGGCGACGGCGGGATGCGCGCGCGGAGGGGAGGCGGATCCACGGCGGCGCCAGCTTGTGGAGGTAGGGGCGGTGTCCACGGATCCGCACCGGCGCTAGATTGTGGAGGTAGGTACGGCGGCGGCGGGATGCGCGCAGAGGGGAGGCGGATCCATGCTGGTGCTAGCTTGTGGAGGTAGGGGGCGGCGGCGGGATGCGCGTGGAGGGGACATGCGCCAGTGCTCGCTTGTGAAGGGAAAGAGCGGTAGCGGTGGGAAGCTGAGAGGGATCCGCGCCGAAAATGGCACCCTTGCCCCTCCCCAGGCTGCCAAGGCCCCCACCGCCGTCGATGATGATGGCCTCGCCGCCAGCCCCGCCGATGTCCCTGGCCTCTGTTAGTGATATGCCCTAGAGGCAATTATAGAGATGATTGTATCACATACTATGTTTACATATTTATCTGACTTTGTTCCTTGAAATAGATTAACTCATTATTGGTTAATGAATATCTGATTCTTTCATGAGACTCTTTATGTTATGTGTTGCTATTTCTAAAGGATCCCTGATCAAATATCATATGTGGAACAAATATGTTTAGATGATCAGCACATATATTAATTAATGATCATGTCTCATGGATCATGGTATAGAGATACCAAATTAATAATGTGGACACATGTTGGTGAACATGTTGTTGGATAGACTCAACATGAGACACTGCAAGAGTCATATGTGTTGTGTCATCAGTAATCTCATTTAGTGTTGGTGTTGAATCCTTAGACCTGAGATTATCATGGTTCTCAACATATGTAGCAGCTTACTTAGGGACTGCTAAACGCTACTCCGTAAATAGGTAGTATAAAAGTAGTTTTTGGGTATGCTATGAAACATGTAGTGGGATATGAATAATCAAGATAGGATTTGCCCCTCCTATGGAGAGATATCTCTGGGCCCCTTGATGTTGTAGATTATGGAAGTGCATGGCCATGCCAAAGGTGATTGAGGAGTCAATCACAAGTTATATAATCTATCAACAGGTTCGAGTGAATGATTGAGCTATTAGAGGATGGCACATATCTAGCCTTGAGCTTAATTGATATCGTGAGGCAAAGGGGTTCATACAAGTATACACTAGAGGTTCAGCCGATATGATCTTTATGTATGCTCGGTGGGTCAATACGTTCTGCTAGGAGCTGCTGTTGACGCGTGGACCGAAAAGGAGTTTTCGGGTTACAGCCGAGTATATATGAACCTACAGGGTCGCACGCTTAATGGGCCGGAATAAGGGGATTGGATAGAGATCCAATATGAGCTTAATTCGGATAGGGATCCGGATAGGAGTCCTACGGGCCTTGGAGGCCCGAGTGATGGATCCTATATATTCGTGAGGGGTGTGACCGGCGGAGGCATTGCATCACGTGAGAAAGCCCTAGCCGTCTCTTCCCTCCCCGAGCAAAACCCTAGCCGCGCGCGGGTGCTAGCACATCTGCGCGTGGCGTTCCGTCCCTGTACGTGTGGATACCGGTAGAGGCGCCGCTGGTTTACAGTGCTGATCGGTGTGGGAGTACGGTGAGGAGAACGCACGAGGAGGAGAAGGTCGAGCCGGTGCGATCGACTACTTCCTCTACATCGATGCGCGGTACTTCGCGAGAGTTCCTTCGACTTCTCAGCGTTTTCTTCTGCTGCACAGCGCGTCGAGTGGTAACGATCTATGATCTAATACTTGCATGGTTCCTGGTTTACGCGATAGAAAATTTTGATTTATGCTATCGTAGCCTACGCGTATCCCAACAACCTCGTCACCCCACTGACTCGTCGGCTGCGGCGCCGAGCCCCACCGACGCAGGCGCCGGGATGGCCCCGTCCAGCAGCGAGCTCATGCTCGCACTCGCGCCCACCGCGGCCGGGAAGAGTGCCGCTGGCGCCATCTCCGCCTCCGCCAGCTTCGTCGCCGTCGCCGGTGCGTTGGCCGCCGCCGCCGTCGTGTTCTTGATTTAGATTTTTTAGATAGCCATGGTTTCGCCGCCGCTGCTATTGAAGATACTTGTACTCTACTACCACTTTGTCAAAATTCAGTCAAATTAAAATCAATTTTGTCAAAATGATTCAAATTTGTCAAATTTATGGCAAATCTGCCAAACTTGTCTTAAATGTGAAAGAAATGTGTAAATATGTCAAAATATTTGAACATATACACGGTATGACATAATAGGGTCAAATAAGCAATATATAACATGGTCAAATAAGCAAGCGCAAAATAGACTATTCACCCCTAACTTAACACTGTCAACTCACCTTAACGGAACAGGGTCAGATCGATCGTTCGTTTTCGAAAAGCAGGGTCAAACAAGCAAACTCAAAAAAAGAGGATCAAATTGGTACTTAGCCTTCAAAATGGGGCCAAATAAGCAATTGCCCCTTCCCTTGAATTAAAAAATAATCAATCTTAGTGAAATATAAATGTAGCACTCATAAAATCGAGGGCCGCTTCCCTTGTTATCCACACCACATACTATGAATACTCATCTACTAGGGATCCTTATATTGCAATAATTTTTCATTAATCGCAAAATAAACTTGACAAGTACTTTAGGACATATTAATTTGATGCAAAATTTATTGTGCATTTATCGATCTTTGTTTCATGTGGTTGTGTGCTTTTGTTAGTCCCTACCCATCCCACAAGAAACAACTGATGGTGAATCTAAATCGAGAGGTCTCTCCATATAGTTCATATTGTTTTAATGGGAGACCCATGTACATTAGAGAAGTGTTATATGCATTTCTTTTTTCTATTATAACATTGATGCCTTTTTTTCCTTCTTATGTTCTACAATCTGATTACACCATTGTGTTCGTTGCAATTAAATCTTTATGACAGATCTTACATAACTATATTATGATAAAAAATATTTATCTTGGTAAATTGCTTTTATTATATATGTAAGTTACTTTTATATTTGATTAAATTATTTCTTATGCATTCATAATGCTCTGAGTTGATCTTTTTATTATTGCTTTCAGTCTATTCTATAATTTATACAGATTAAATTTAACTTCTAGATAAATTTATGTTTTTATTCCTACAAAGGATTTACTTCTATGTCATTTATGTAAATTACTTTGAGACTTTATTGAATTACTTTCATAAATATATTTACTTAAAAATCTACTCTACACTTTACTTATGAATTTATTCCATATGGTTACTTTAACTTAGTTATAAAGTAATTATTTCTAATGTTATACAGAGTTACTTCTATTGCATATATAAGTTACTTCTACAATTTAGATATTTTTTTAAAAAATATGAGGACAGCTACAGCACGGGATTACGTTACAACATGGAGGTCATGGGTTAACTAAACACATATTTAATGCGTTTCTTTTCCGATCGAGCACCACATTGTCCACGCGATACCCCCTCCCCACCCGCCGCCTCCGCGCAGAAACCTCGCCGGTGATGCCTTCCCAGCCATGAACTTGCTTGGTATCACGCGCCTCCGCATGCGATACCTCGCCGGCAGTGACGCGGAGCGCCGCCACAACTACTTCGAGCAGGACCACACTGACGGCACCTTCCCCTGCTAGGAGTCTACTCAGTATCACAACTATGCTCACTGGATCCTTCCCTCATGGACAACATCAACACTAGGAAAGGATGTATAGTGTCGAGAGGAGAAAGGGGGAAGAGAATAGGAGTCAAAGGTAATCAGCTCACCTACCGGCTAGGCAGGTGATGACAGCTCGAGCTCCCTCCTCACAACATGATGCCTGATACCTGGTACTTGGCACCCTGCTATCTATAGGTATCGACTGGTACCTAGGTACGGCTTGATACTAGGTATCAGTTGAGGATGGTGCGGATGACATACCTGTAGACAAACGCAAATAAGCAACGAAGAGCTAGTGAGGAACACGATGCCACAACCTTGAGACCTACAGGAAACACCTCGCGATGCCCTCTCCCCCACCCTAGCCGGGGAACGACCACCTCCACCTGTCGTCGGTACCCAAGCCTCGTCCCCCTCCTCCTGCTTCTTCTCTTTTCTTCCTCCTCAGCGATGACAACGTTGATCTTGCTACTGTAGTTGCCTTCTTCTTTGCTAACCTCAACAATTCTGGTGGCCCCATGACCTCACCGACCTCCACACTCTCACTGACGCCCTCCGATCTGGTGTAGGAAGGGGAAAGAAGATGGAGGATGCCGTTGGAATTGGGGATGGCGTCGGTTGGTTCTCCGGCAACCGGAGATGGGGATCACAGGAAGGGAGGGAGGTGGAGAATGGCGACCATGGGGCAGAGGAGTCGAGAAAGGGAGGGAGGAGGAAAGCGACTGTGGGGCGGAGTCATCGAGGAAGGGAGGGAGGAGGAGGACGCCGACTGACTCTGAGGAAGACGGAGGAGAAAACAGATCTCAGAAATGGATCTGACTCTGAGAAGTCGGTTGGGTTGTATATTTATCCTGTGGCCGCAGGGACACCGTTCTACAGTTTTTCTGTTTAAATAATTAAAATGTTACTGAATATATTTAACATGGATCTTATTTTGTCAAGTACAGTTATGCAAATATATCTTAAAAATAATATGTGATTTAAAAGATATATGTTATTAAAGAGGTTAAAAAAAGACATGTACCATTGTATTTTTTAAGCTAAATAGAGATTTTATATGGGATGGAGTAGTCTCCGGTTAAGAATAATGCACTACCATGCACTACCTAGTCACGTCCTTACGTTTCCTTTTGAGTAAAATACGTCATAAATCGTTAAGGGGTTGTATTTTTTTATAACCTCTCCGATTAAATTTTAGTCCTAAACTTATATATATCTGCTTGCATTTATAGCTAATTATTTTAAAAAAAATGGTGACGTGCCTATCACTACGAGATGCTTCTAATGATGATTTCATGAATCTTAACATATGCTGGCTCATAAGGATAGAGTGCTCGTGTGTTCATAAGGATAAGTATGTGTGTATATATGAGCATCTACATTTTTAAAAAAATGCATAACAAATCTCTAAATTTGTCCAGCTGACTCGCTTAGGTACACAAACTCTCCATCTACGATTCGATTCTCACCTCTGACCAGCACTTGAGGCAGCCGACCGGTGCCACGCTGGACTGGAGTGCAGCGCGCAACATATGCACTACTCGATCACATGCCGTTCTTTCTTACATAAAACTTTTCAAATAATGTCAATTTTATGCGCCTTAAAATATTTATGTTGCACCTGTACTCTCATAGCTATCATTGATTTTTAGGTATTCAAAAAGTTGATTCACATATATCTGTTTATGTGACTATTATA